TAAGCAACCCCTAAAAGCCCCCTCTTGTGTTGCACACACCACTTTCACCCTTCTCGGAATACACTAAATGGTCTGGCCAGGCCCGTGTGCGAAATACGCTGCAGTCGGAAAGCGCACGTTAAATCTTCTATATCAGTCAGTCAGTTGACAACGGTATAAGGATATTTTTCCGACACGTCGCCTTTAAAGTATTAAAGAGGTTCTCATCCATACATTGTGTCTACTTTGTTATCCGTCAACTTCTAAGTAATGCCTATCAAACAATTCTAACACGACTGCGTTAAATGAGATGTCAGATATAACATCCTATTTCGACCTTAGTGAATTCTATTTTTGTTAATATTTCTGTTTATTCGAATGGATATTTCATTGGAGGTTTCCTTTCTGGGATGAGAAGGTGCATGTTGTCATGACAGGTACCTACTTTTATTGCTTCTTATAAAACATAACATATAACCTGGATGATGGTTTTATATCACACGTGAATTTTATAATATAAAAGGGGGCACGGGTGGCTCAGTCGTCTAAGGCGCCGCGATTCGCTGTGCAGAGTTGCGTCCCTTGGGCACGCCAGAAACCTATGATTGTGGGTTCGAATCCCGGTTCGCCCCAATTAGGTTTCTAGGTTTGTCAGCACCATACCCGTGCTCGTGGGTTTCACCGAAGTGGTAAACGTCTGAGACCTGCATCACTTCGGGCTTTCCATCCACATTAAACTGACACACCGCGATATAACTGGAATACTGTTAAAAGCGGCGTTAACCCAACTCACTCACTCACATTATAATATAATATATTGGTATATTGGGAGGATATTTTGATTCCAGAACTGGAACAGAGCCATGTTATGAAGATGACTGTATCCTGAAGTATCTCGAAGGTCAAGACAACTTATACTGGGACTTTCTTCTTGATATGTTTGGCCTTAAATGATATTCAGCGGATAAAGTTTTCAACAATTTGAAAAGCGTTTAATGTACTTATGTTCGATGTTGAATGTAGACATCATGTATTGTCGATGTGGTGGTGACAAAGGAGATTTTACATTTATTGGTAATATGGGAGCTGGAGCTAGTGTAATTGATTACATTCTAGGTACTGTAGATATGTTTGACATTTGTGAACATTGAGTCTCCTCGTGAAGCATCTTCCCCTTCCTACATTTGTGTATGTCGTTACGAGCGCTTCACTCTTCTTCCGTGCCTTCCTCAAATGAGTTTTGTTTAGATTTAAGTGGGAAAGAAATACGAAGGATATATATTAGCAAATTTGTCCTCAGAAACGTTTTCATTTCTCATAGAAAAGGCTGTTGACGCCAATATTGAGGATAGCGTGAGGTTCTTGACTGACGCGCTTGTGTTTGCTGGTGAAAACAGAAAACGGAAAGTAAACCCTGTGAGAGAAAATAACCACTGAGTGTGAATTACATAAATGCCAGATGTATTAACTTGTACAGTTTCAGCAAAAAGAATGATAAAGAAGTACTCTCTGCATATATTAGCGTTAGAAATAAATATAGGACTACATGTAGACTGAAGAAGGAAATATTTTTGGATCAGACCAGAGACGGTAGAAAGAAACATTTCCTCTTCATAAGAATTCTGGTCAAAATTTCGAACAGTTGACTTTCAAAGGAAGCAATAGCATAAACGTGGACGAATGGTTTGAATACTTCAAGAGTATTTTCTGTGGTACAGATTCTACAGATGCTTCAGGTGATATGCAGTGAGATATGTGATTTAATATTTTAGATCTACCAATAACTAGTGACGAAATTTTAGCTGCTGTTCGATATTTGAAAAACAATAAAAGTCCTCGTATCGATAGATTAGTATCGGATTTTTTCAATATTCCCTTAAAGAAATACTACAATATCTGGATTTTTTTTTTCAACACTATTTTGGAAACAATCCTGTACCAAAGATTGGGCACTCGGTGTTGCTGTTCCTCTTCATAAGAAAGGATTAATAAGGCGAGTCATTACAGAGGTTTACACTTTCAAGTTTTTTTATTTCAATTATTAATAAACGTTTGACATGTTGGTCCGAATCTGGTTGATGTAGAAATGGGAACTCAACCATTGACAATATGTTGATACTACAGACTATCATAGACCGATATATTAGAACGAAAGGAGGCAAGCTGTATGCAATATTCATAGATTTGTAAAATAACATTCGAATCTACATTGTAGATACAAAACGTGCTGAAAAAACGGTGCCTACTCCAATATTTTTACTTACCATGCGACCGGGTTGTGTTTTAAGGGTTGTTTTTTCATTAATGAGTTGGCGGAACAGATCTGTGAAAGTGGCATTCAACTCTACCCTGTAACAGTTTAGATATTCATGCTACTCTTTGCTGATGATATTGTTTTGTTTCCAAGTACAATGAAAGGTTTACAACATTTGACTTTCAGCGAATGAAAAGTGGTATCTCGATGGAAAAAAAATAGTAACTGTCACATCATATAAATACTTTTGGGTTTCATATTCAAGCAAGTTATCCTGGAATCTGCATACTAGTGATACAACACCGCGATATAACTGTAATACTGTTAAAAGCGGCGTTAAACCCAGCTCACTGGCCAAGGAAATATTATTTGGAATTTTACAAAATTAAAAAAAACTAAATGATCTTGCTCATGAAACATTCGTTAAAATATTTGCTGTTAAAATATGTCCCATGCTTTTATATGGATCAGAGATATGGGGTTTCTATGAGTTAAGGGCGATTGAATTGGTACACTTGTATGCCTGTAACAAATTTTCTTGGTGACAAAGAATGTACTTCAAATGTTATGGTTTATGGCGAATGTGGGTGTGTTACTTTATATGCGTGTCAGTACTTTAAAATAATTAAATATTGGTTTACAATTTTAAAGATGCCGTGTAATAAATTGCCAAGAAAATGTTAAAATATGGTGTTGTAATATGAATGCCATGGAGTTGGGTCGAAAATGTTAAAAAGTTTATCAAACGAGTGTGGATACAGTTATGTATTGAATGAATAATGTATACCAGAACATCCAGATAAAGAATTGTTGGCCATAAGACAAACCCTTAAAGATATTGTAGGCACTTCTTGTAAATGTAATTACTAATATCACTATATCCCTTACTGTTAATATGCCATTAATATGATAATCTGAGAAGTATATACTTAAAACGACATTTTTATGTAAATCAAAGTATCTAATATCTTCAGTTAACATTGATGTTGTACGAAATGTGTCCATGTATATTTATCATGCTATGTCAGTTAGAAATTAGTTTATGTTGTACATGATGTTCTGTTTTAAAGTTTACACAATAAACGGCTTTTCCATTGGACGTTTGACGTTCATAAGTGTACGACTCAATTTGACGTTCAAACGTTTTTTATGGAGCCCGTTTACTTAAAATGACGTAAACACTGACGGACTACTTCCACATTCCTGGGAATTCCTTGGCACTGATACATACAGAAGCGTTTTTTATGATCATTCAGACCCTTCAAGCATGAACTCAGCGTTTTAGTATACATTGAGCAACGTCACAGAGTTTGACTGCATCATCGTTCACGAATATCCTCGTAACGACCCATCCTAGTGCACAAAACGAAGAAATGCACATCCAAACTATTGTAGTATCGACTCCATCTGTGTCTAGGCTGACAGTGGCAGTCTACAGAATTCAATGAATGTACCTTAGTGTCTGTTTGACACATCTTTAATGACCTTCCACTGATCGGCCAATTGATAAATGATAACTAGAACATGTAAACGCCACAGGTTCATTAACAACTTCCGACATTTCACTCGTCACGTTTATCGTCGGCCATTTTGACGTCTTGTACTTGATGTAAATGTATTACGACGCGCTGTTGTCGTGACAGAGATAGTTCCTAACAGATAATGATGAAATTATATTAATACACTTGTTGAAAAGAAACTACAAAAGTTGTTCCTGAGCATGTTGAGCATACATACGCTCGAGACACCTCTCTATATGAGGAACTATTATATTCCGCGATACAGCTGGTTGTTGTATGGCTGTCAGTATAAACATGAAGCCATATGTACTAAATAAAAGTGTGTTTCGATCTTGGCCTTCATCCTTTGAGGTAAGAAATTGTGATACAAAAATTATAAGAATTGACTTTCACTTTATGTGAGTTCATTGGAGTATGAACCTTCATAGAGTGAGGGTCAAACATTATATGAACGTCGGAGCTTGAAGGTTCATACTCCAATGAATTCACACAAAGTGAAAGTCAATTCTGTAACAATCGCTTCCTAAATGCTGTATACCATGGGCTGGTGGCCCCACAATTTTGTTTTGTATCTGAGCTGATCTAGATACGAAATGTCTGTACCTTTAATCTCATGTCAGGTACATGTTTCACAATCAGCGGTGCAGTGACCAAACACATGGCAGCGACAGAATTCTACTACTCTCATGATACTCACTCCCAGTACTCTTCACTAACTGTGTTGAACTTGATGAGGCAGCTCTTAGTGATGTCGTCCTGGATCATGGTGGAGTTGTAGTCATCGGTGATGTTGAAGGCAGGGTGGTGTGTGTGTGTGTGAGGGGGGGGGGGGGGGGGGGGGGGGGGGTTGGTGTGGTGTAGACGTCACAGATGTTGCTGAGGATGCCGTCTACTCAAGGTTGTTTGTACATTACTTCTGTTGAAAGAATAATGTAATGTACTGTACAGATAGTAAGCAATTGCACAAATTCCTTCCCATACGAAATCTCGGTTCACAGCAGAGTCGATAGTACGATTCCAACTTTATCATGGGCATGTGTTCATGAACCACTATCAAATAGTGATGATAACAGATGTTCGCGAAAAGGTGAACGTATCCTGCCCCACCTTCAACAGAATCAATAAACATAGAAGCTGAAGGAAATCCATACACTAACTAAACAAAGTTGTCGTTCTGTTTGCCTCATCTATCGAAGTTAGCGATGGGGAGGGCTCCGTCCTGAAGGAGTTGGCATTCTAGGGATTACCACACGACTGTGCTATCCAGTAGACGAAGCTGACAGACATGTAGTATACGGCGTACATGATGACGACGTTGTAGTAGATGGACAGTATGGAGCTGGTGATCATCATTGCACAATAATTAAATTTTCGTTGTGTTCATTGAAATTCCTGCACTCTGATAAAGCTGAATTGGTCACGTGTTATTGCATTCATTTAATAATGAATGTAAAAAATAAAGCCACGCCCTACTAATATTACTGCGGAATGTCGGGGAATCCCAATATTACCGTCGAGGGAATGAAACAGCAAACGTGTAGACTCGTTCGCCTGTTGTTTTCCCGCTACCTCGGTTCAACTTTCATGTCTTCGGGTTTCATTTCTTACTAGCATTGTTTCAAACTGTGTTTTCCCGTTTTCAGGGAAGTAATGTTTGAATCTGGCGGTAACTGTCCATGTCATTCGAAACAGCCGCCTTACTCCTTACTTTCTTCAGGTTTGTTACAGTCTGACTGTTGCAGTTCTTCTCGCCCCTTGCCGTAATTGACAGGTCCTATGAACATTGTTTTGATCCTCATCTCCGTTGATTGGCTACTGACTTTGTAGGCGTGTCAAGTTAAATTAAACGATCACCCGATTCATGTCACGCCACAGTATGTATTCATACACCTGGGATGTTTATCAATCTCATCACTTTTGTCTGTTCTGATATATACAACTGTTTTTGGTTAAACTGTTGGAGATAAAACATGTTTTACGTTGTCGAATTTAATTATAAGCATTGACTGGGTATTTTCTCGGTTCATTGAGGTATGGATCGAAAAACCGATGTGCACACTTTTGTGAATCCGCTACGCCTGTGCACATCGGTTTTTCGATTCATACCTCAATGTACCAAATAAATACACAGTCAATCTTTAACCCAATACCTAAAACATCATCATTAGATCAGATGACTAGAATCTCTTGTCTGCATGCATTGTGTGTCTGGTCGGCTTATAAATGTGCATGCGATATGCGATATGCGATATGCGAAGAGAACACACAAGACTCTACGGAAATGATCGTGAAGCTAGAAGTTCCTAATGCAACGATATCATCTGGTAAGTATCTAAAGTTTCCCTCTGAGTAGCAGGTAGGCCAACTATTGCTCATTCCACATTAAGCATTGGTCACTCACTCATTTGTTAGATAATCAATAAGGTTATTACGCTTGGCTGACCTTCCACACAGTGATAAGTTCCTTTCGGAGGAGAACTGACCGACGGCCAGTTCCAAGAACATCATCGGTAGACTGATCACTACCAACATGACACAATAGGGAATGAAGAATGTGCCTGCACGGACAACTCGTCTGTATTCTCCGGGGGAGATAAAACAATCTCACATTGTGATAATGGGTTAGGTCACTGCACGGAATACTAATCTGTATTCTCCGGTTGAGATAAAACAATCTCACATTGTGATAATGGGTCAGGTCACTGCACGGAAAACTAATCTGTATTCTCCGGGGGAGTCCATTCAACACGTCAGTTTCTCTTCACCTAAAGTGAACTTCAATTCAATAACGACCATTTGAAGACCCAAGTGTGATGTATTTGAATATGACAAGTGTTGTACAGTGTTTTGCTGGTTGACAGAAAGTGTCGCCGATGCTAAATACCGAGTTTAATATTATGGAAACAATAAAAGAGAACGTGATTCCGATGATTGTTTGTTGGTCTTTTAAAGCCACACAATACATTGTTCGGGCTTAGTGTGTTGCAGCAAGGGCTGACGATCTATTTTCAACATTGCAGAGTATTTGAGGTATTCGATGGTGAGTCAGCTTTATGTGTAGGATAAAGCAGGTCCGAGCGGATTTATGATATTTAAAACCCGCATCCGCGGGATAAAACAGAGGGGCGTGATTTACAATTTGCACGGCGCACAATTTGGATATTTTGTGTGTTTGCTGGGAGTATGATACTCAGATACGAGGCTTGTGAGGCAGCAGGTGTATGCCCGCCCATACGCTGTATGGTTTGTAACAGGCTTTTGGAGGCAACATTACATTACTGTACTGCCATGGCCGGCTGGTTCTCCAGACGTCTCCATGTCGAGGGATGAGATGCACGACGCCTACGAGAGGACCAGAACCAGAACGTTTGCTCAGTTCGGCCAATATTTGGTGGACATTTGAGCAAATATAAAGTAGGTTATTATCATTACATTTATACCACTTCACATGACGCACGGTTACTTTTTTCCGCTAGTTTATTTCTGTGATTGTCGAATATGGATCTAAATATGCAGTTAGTATGTCCTTTACAGATATAAGTATTTACACATACAGCGCAGCAATATTATTGGTCTATAGTTCTCAGGATATGTGTAGTCTTCATACAATCAAATGAAATCAAGTCTCGCCATAGCGCGTTTACTGACTTTGTTTAAACCCAAAACGTCATGTTAATTTTGAACGTCTGCAAGGTACAAGTGCAGAGATTCTGCGCATTATTTAACGTTTATTAGCACCCATTCAAAGTCAGACTATATAAACTGTTACGTGTTGATTCCCAAATTGACACAAAATGTTAATCATTATATTTGTACTTAAGAACTTAGTGTGAAACCAACATACAACAACAACAATTACAATGGCAGTAAACAACAGAGAGGTAGTACAATATCCAATGGCAATAAATAAATAATGGCAGTGGACAGTATCTAATACAAAAATACATTAGTGACATCAAAAGTCATTGATACTAACATTTATTCAGCTATGTCAAGCTTGCGAGATGGGCTTCCCAGGGAATCAGGGATGATGAGCGATCCTCACATGAAATCCGTTATTGATGTGATGAAAATGCGTGAGAGACGAAATGTGTGAGAGATACGTAAACACGCTCTTGTCCCACTATATATAACCCCGACACTGTAATACCCTCAAAACATTGAATATTCTTCATGTTTCTATAACACACTCTCACGGTACGCGGTATCCCCGACCGGATGTTTACACACCACACTTACATCTAAATACAATAACTTCCTGACGACTGCTACAGCTAGAGTACTACATTCCTGACGACTAATCACTGCCCAAATAAAATGCAACGAGCGTCTACCGAATCTCAAAAGAAGCGAATGTAACACAGTTCAATTCAATTTTTTTTTTATTATTCAACGTACTGAGGAGGCCACAGGCCTATAGTACAATCATGATTACAGGAGCAATTAGTACAATCATATAAGTTCCAAACTTGATTTTCTTTGTATAAAAGCATGATATATGTACATAGAAAGATTTCTTATGGTTTCGATGTTGCTAGTGGTCAGTAATAGTTTAAACTTAAATGTACAATGGTTTATATGAAAATATTTTGGTAAATATACTTTTCTTAGTTCATCATAATGCGGACATACTAGTAAAAAGTGATACTAGTCCTCAATTAATCCTAGGTCACATAGTGGACAGAGTCTATTTTCTCTCGGAATATTTTGATATCTACCTTTTTCAATTAAAAGATCGTGTGATGAACATCGGGACCTTGCAAGTGCTACCCTAAATTTTCTAAGGCTAACACTGAAAAGGTATTGCTCTGCAATGATATATGACTTGAAACTGCCATATAACAGGGACTTTGGTGAACGCGTTAGAGTTGCATTCCATGACTGAAAATATAAATCTTTTAATCTTTGTGTTATAGCATTTATGAACAACTTCGGATAAGCAATATGTTCTAATTTAAAACTGTAACCAAAACCATAATTATTCAGCAGGTTCCTTAAGTCGGTTAGCCAATTTGTTTTGCCATTGCTATCATACAAACACATCATATTGTAACATTTCTTAGGGAATCTTGAGGAGGGCATATTAAGTAGTCTTATCCAATATTTTATTATTTTCAGACGTGCTTCTATACACAAAGGGACTCGTCCACATTCACCATAAACCATCACGTTTGGGGTATTCATTTTAACTCCTAAATATTTCTTACAAGCATATAAATGAACTTTTTCCAGAGCATCTATTTGTGTAAATCCCCAAATTTCTGCCCCATATAAAAGAATGGGTTTAATTTTCGTGTCAAATATTTTGAAGTATATTTTATTGTTTACAGCCCCAACATTTTTTAAACTACTGAACATGCCCAACAATATGTTCTTTCCCTGTACAGCAGCATTATTTCCGTGTGTATTCCATGCCAACGTATTGGAAAAATACACACCTAAATATTTATAACCCTTAACTACTTCTAAACACTGACCTTTAAATAACCACTTTTCAAACCTTGATAATTTGCCACCTTTTTTTGAAAACAACGATTTTTGTCTTATTGTATTAATTTTCAAATTAAACTTATCACAATGAACTTCTAATTTTGCTATTTGTTTCTGCAATCCTTTCACCGTACTAGAAAACATGATAATGTCATCAGCAAATAACAGAAGGAAAAGCTTGACAACGTCTGGATGAAGTTGTATACCATCTGTACAGTTCTGGTGAACAGCTGTAGCTAGTTCATTAATAAAGAAGACAAACAAAAAAGGGCTAAGTATACATCCCTGGCGTACACCAATGCTGCAGTCAAAAGCGGTGGACATTACACCGTTATTTCTTATACATGCTTTTACATTTTTATATATGCTACACAATAGTTTTACCATTTTACTGCTCAGGCCATGCTTGGTAAATAACATCCATAATTTACTTCTATCCACAGAATCAAAAGCTTTAGAGAAATCAACAAATAAAACGTAAAATTTGCCCCCTTTGCTTGATATATAGCGCGGAATGAGACTATACAAAATAAAAATATTGTCCTTGGTTGAGTATCCTTCCCTAAATCCTGCTTGTGCCTCAGTGATTTTATCTGTAGCGTTGGACCAAAAAACTAGTCTTTTATTGATGATATACAAGAAAACTTTACTAAATATACTAAGAAGTGTAATACCTCGATAATTGTCAGTCATATTTGGGTCACCATTCTTGAATAGGGGTATGATAATACCAACATCCCAACATTTAGGAAAGTAAGATTTTTCAAGCATTAAATTAAACATTACCAGTAGGTATGGCGTTAATAAATCTTCAGCGTGTTTGAAAAACTCCGGGATAAGGTTATCTATTCCTGCAGATTTATTATTTTTAAGATGCCGAATGCTTACTTTTATCTCATCTTCTGAAATTGGTAAATCTAAGATATCCCTTGTAATATCATTCTCAACAGTATTTTCCAAAACTGACTCGAAATAATTATGAAAATCATTAACATCTGAGCAATTCTCTTCTGATCTATCGTCAAATAATCCCTTAAAATGATTAAACCAGTCTTCCAATTTTATCGTATTAAACGTATAGTTAGTACATTTTAAACTTTTTAACACTTCCCAAAACGTTTTGGGGTTATCGATGGAATTTTCTAATAGTTTTAATTTCTCTCCGTTATATGCTTCTTTTCGTTTACGACAAACTGCCTTATATTTTTCCGTGCGAAGTTATACTCTTGCAAAGACTGGGTGTCCTTAAGTGTCCTGAATTTATTTAATGCCCTACATCTTTCCTTTTTGTAGAGTTCACATTCAAAATCTTACCAAGGTTTGCTAGTTTTTGGAGTACCACAAACACGTTTCCGCATTCCTTCTGCTGCCGTACACAAAGCCCGGGATAAACAATTAATACTTTCATCTATGTTTGTAAAGGCTACATCTATGGATTCCTCCAACAAATTTTGAACCCTATCTGATTGTAAATTATCGCAAAAGGAGTTTTTCTTAGTGCTGTCCCACTTAAACTTATAGCTCAAATCTTTGGAATTACTATCAGCGTGGCGTTCACTGTGATAAAGCGCTCGTAAAGATAAATTAAGTGGAAGGTGTGATGATTCTGCTCGCGAAAGAACAGCAAACTTTTTGCAATTTGGAAAAAGCTCTTGGGAGCATAAAACGTAATCTATTAAGCTGGCCCCATTATGTCCAATGAAAGTATAGTCACCAACTCCCTGATCATCATCACATCTTCCGTTCATTATGTGAACATTTAATACAGCACATAGATTTAACAAACATCTGCCAAAATTATTGACGCACTTATCCACTGAATATCTTTTCAGTGATAATTTATCTAACAAAAAATCCCCAAAACAACCGTCATTACCTTCAACATACTCAATAATATCATCCTCTATAAAATCAGCCTCTGTTCCCGTCCTGGCGTTAAAATCGCCACCAATAAACATATATACATCATTATATTTCATTAGAACCTCAAGAAGCTTCTCTTGTAGGTATATTACACCATTCTTATACTGTCTTAACAGATTAGAATACCAGTTTGATCCCTCTGGATGTATATAAACACAAGAGTATAAAATATCTTTTTTAAGTCCAAAGAGCTGTTTGTCCAATAAGAGTAAAATTCCACTGTCAAACACCTCTATATCCTTGATATAAGCAGAAAGATTCTTTTTAACAAGAACTATAACACCTCCAGAACATCTGCCCGTTTCCGATATCTTTTCAGCTTCTTTCATATATATCATAAATTCCGAAAAAAATGAATACAAATCAAAATCTTTCATCCATGTTTCAGTTAAACCAATGATATCACATGATTTAAAAAAATCAATAAAGTCAGAGTCATCAATTTTGGAATAGAGTCCTGACACATTCCAGAATAAAAACTCAACCTGTGCGTGAGTTTTAGTGAGAGGCGTTGAACGAAGTTTCGTACAATCACGAAGGCCCTGGCCGCACCCCTATCTGTATCTACTGTTCCTGTCTACGGGCCTGTTTCTGTCTCTTAATTTACGGTTTCTTCGTTTCATTTCCCGACTGTCTCTTGTCATCATATACACGATCCCTGCGCCAATCAGAATCCTTGTCTCTGCCTAAGTCTCTATGCACTGCGCTCTCTGTTGTATTGCTCCTCTCTGACCCTGGTCTACTCTGCATATGGTTTTCATCTCGTTCTGTGTATCTCTCTGATTCCTGACTCATTTCTGTCTCGGGGACAGATATATCACCACTGTCTTTTTCCTCTATCTGACACAGTTAAATCATTCTTAAACAATACATTACACTGCCCAATAACAAAATACATAACTAATGCATTCATTTTTCAGTAATATCAAAACATACCGTCGATGATTTTGTTATTTGGGGAAAATAAGTTGCTTACTTTGGATACTCGTGGTAACGAGTCTCAACGTGTGTTGGGCGGTCGGGTAGCCTAGTGGTTAAAGCGTTCGCTCGTCACGCCGAAGACCCGGGTTCCATTCCCGACATGGGTACAATGTGTGAAGCCCATTTCTGGTGTCCCCCGCCGTGATATTGCTGGAATATTGCTAAAAGCGGCGTAAAACCAAACTTACTCACTCACTCAACATGTGTGTTACCACGGGGGTCAATTTATAATCTATTGCTATCGTATCCAGGGTTATCAGAACCACCCTCAGCACTGCCTGCTGTGTTCCTCTTCCCAGTGTACGCAGCATTGGTGCCCATAGAGTGCATGTGGTTATCAGGAACCTCAGAAGTGACGAAGTATCTTCCTGTCCGGTTTTCCTGGTTGGCAGGTCCCCAGCTGCTCCTTGGTGCGATTGCTTTCCTCTGAAAAGACAACAACCCCAAAGCGTAAGCACTGCTGTTTTATATGAATCAACATTTCGGCAAGAAAACGTTACTCCTGAACTCATGAAAACAGCCTGGATAAGAGACTGGTCAGCAATGTTCACTCAGAAACTTGTTTTCATACAAATGTTTTTTTTATGTCATAAAGGATTTCATAGACTGTTTATCGCCGTACGGAGCAATATCCCAACTATATCACGGCGTTCGTAGATGTGAATAGATGTCATGATCGATAGACTGCAACGTGCCGATGTTGAAACGTTAAGGGTTCTCTGAACAGGACCGATTTTTATCGAACTTACTGGTCCGAGCTTGTACATTTGAACCACCATAACGAGGAGTATCATAGCAACAGGGGCGAAAACCATGCACCAGCCCATGCCCTCAGCCCACGGGGGGAACTCGTAGTCTCCGTAGTTGGCTGGGGTGTACTGAGTGGCCGACACGATCACGATGAACTGAAACAAATGCACACATCTAGAAATACGTCATGCAACGCTTTCTAAATATTTCCATGACATATTCGTATCTTGCATTAATTGTCTGCCTAACGACATTTTTTTTCTGTTTACAAAATGACACATTCATATTGAAAAACAGACATCTACCATCTACCACCATGTGTAACTGTTTCACGGCAATAGTTCACTACTCATTCAATAACCTAGCTACAATCCATTCCTGATATATTTCAAAAGATATTGTTCAGGATATCTGAAAATGATTATAATCAAAGCGACAAGACCCTTTTAAAAATCAAAAGAACTTCCTTGGTATAAAATTCAAAGGGAAAATGAATCGCTGCTCCTGCACTGGTGATCATGCTTCTTCAGTTGAGCTACAGCTGACATATATCCCCCTGATCATACTCGGCAATACATCAGCTCTATACCACCATGACCTCTTTGACACCCCTACATAAAGAACCAGATGAGCTGCTGTTCTGACACACCACAGAGATGAAAACACCTGCCAGTAGGGTGACAGGAGTCAGGAAGACCCAGTTGAAGATCCAGTAAGGGTTGGGTCGGTGGCCAAGCATCATCTCGATGTCCTCCATGAACTGTTTCACGCCTGTACAACAATAACAACACAAGAAAACCTTTTAAGCAAGTTCCAAGACTTGAATTAGATACTTCACGAAAACCAATGTCATGATTATATCGATTTAGGAGGCGATATATTTGCGCTTGACCTCATGTTGAAAAAGCGGGATTTTACAAACGCTTCAATCCACTTGAACGAATTTAAGCAGGTCACTTTTGAGTGTTTACCTGCTTGCCAATTTTCGAATTGGACATTACAGTCCTCTTACCGATGATAAATTAATAGTACCTTGGTGGTTATAACTGCGATATAAAATCACAATTTGACTTACTTTTATAGCTTAGAAAAGTATGTTAAACAAAATGTCATAACAAGTAAAGCACCTTCATATTTCAAGTTATTAACCCTCAACGGTCGACCGCCTCCGTGGTCTAGTGGTAGAGCGTCCGCCCGGAAAGCGGATGGTCCGGGATTCGATCCCCTTTGCCGCGTCATACCAAAAGACGTTAAAAGATGATACTTGTTGTTACCCTATCTGGCGCTCGGCATGAAGGGGCTAAAATAAGGACTGGTCGGCTCGGAGTCAGTATACTGTGTCTGAGTGGGGTATTCATGATAAACTGCGGCATGGTATCTCATTGTGCTAGCAGTATAAATCGGCATCAGTCCGGACTAGTACAAACACACACACACACACACACACACACACACACACACACACACACACACACACACGCTACAGGTGCAATAATCTTGAACGCGACGCTCAACCCAATTTCACCTCACCTCACCTCACCTCACCTCACCTCACCGGTCTTACATTGATTCATTCCATTATCCGTGCATATGATGTAGGTTAGCTGGAGACTGCAGATCAACTTAGACCGTACGTACCATAGACATACATTATGCAAATGATCTCCGACAGAGCCACTAGCATCACGTTGTAGCTGCCGCAGTACCAGTCCATCAGTGTCAGCATGTAAATACCACCCTGGAGTGAAACATAGACGATAATGAAATCTACAAACGTTGATCGAGGTATCGGCATGTACAACGTTTATCAGACATTTACAGACATTGAACCTAATATTCATCCTCGTCCTGGATGAGAATGACTGATGTTGGCAATGACACACATTTCATATATTAAGAGAAATAAGGTGGTATAGGTGACGTAGACAGAGAAATAAGGTGGCATAGGTGACGTAGAGAGAGAAATAAGGTGGTATAGGTGACGTAGAGAGAGAAATAAGGTGGCATAGGTGACGTAGAGATCCCAACTACTAGCTGATAAGGATAACAAATATCAATGATTGGGACTCCAACCTTTGTGACCATGGGCAACCCGAGGAGGAAGCAAATGAGACAACAGAAGGCGGTGAAGGCAGTCTTGTGGTGCCTCAGGAAGCGTGGGAAGATGTCACTGATGCCGCTCACCACCGTCTGCACTTGTGTAAACTACAGAAAGACAAAGTATAGAAGTTTCTCTTTCTGTGCTTGGCTCCATGATTACTTTGTCAATTATTTTTCAATAATCACACCTTGCAAGCAACCAACACGTTTTTGTTGTTGCTTTGCAAGCAATATGTTTTTTTTCTATTTTCATAATTATTCTAAATTTGATTTGATAAATATTTCTATACTGTCATTAGTTCCAGATTGATCGTTTAATCAATTACCATCTTTTCACGAATGACTACTATATATGTACGAACAGATTAGAAAAGGTTTGATACCTTCATTACAAAACCATTCTACAGCATTACAATATTACACTTGAAAAAATACCTTTTTAAGGCTTTTCACGTGTTAATGGTGTCACGGAATATTTGATATGGGAATTAACTAATTCGGGGCAGATTGTCGGTAAAAAACACTTAGCTTATGGGTTATTCTTTAAATGTTGCTTTTGGTTTGTTATTCTGTGAGAAATAGTTAATTTACGAAATGATCGTCCTTAGGCACATGGTGAGTGATGTCTTGTTTCACCTGACCGTCCATTCCAAGTGTAAACAACATGAAGAAAAACAGGAAGGCCCACAATGAGGACATCGGAAGCTTTGCAATGCCTTCTGGGAAAGCGATGAAAGCGAGACCAGGTCCTGAAACAATGCCACGCATTTTATTTCCATGGCGCTGAAGGTGCCTAGCGCCTCGTGCTTGTCCTATTAGCCCATTAAAATGAGGATCGTGAGGTTACAGTGTATCATCTTGGTGAGTGGTCTTTGCACATGGACAGCGTGGACCGTTAATACTCCAGCTATGAACTTCCAGTTGAAGGTATAATTCATAGATCATTGACAACATGTGTAGTCAAACAATGGATGTACACTTAAGTTTTTTAAGGTTGTCCTTCGCTGTAATGTGTTGATGGGGTACTGCAGTTGAGAAACTCCAGGTAATGGAAATTATGACACGTGGGGAATTCATACAAGAGAATCTGTTAAATTCACTCCGTCATTTCTCCCCAATCCAGACAAGCAGGCTAGTCTTTGTGCTATTTGTCACTCATGTATATTCATTTTTATTTTACCTTACCTGTTAAATACGATGTCGACTTTGTCATATTACTAATCAATCATAAATCTATGCATAGATTAAGGATTAGTTAATTTAATTAAGTATTTGCTATGTGACGGACTAGTTTGTATCCAACGGGGTGCCATAACTCTTATTCCTTCTGACTTACCCTGGTCGACCACGTTCTCCACGTCCTGGTTGGTGGTGTGAGCCATGAATCCGAGGATGGAGAAAACGGTGAATCCAGACAGAATACTGCTCACACAGTTGACGAAAGCAACTATAATAGTATCTCTGTAATAAGACCCAAAACTAATCTGAATACCAGACAATAGCTCAATTTTCACTGCTGAAGCAATGCTGTTCTAACAGCCTTAGTCAACATCAGTCCCAAAGTAAACAAATTATCATCACCGATTCTCCGTTATTCTTTCAGGCTCTGAAAGAAATGTATCTTTCAGTCATCCATATATTCTTGATATTTTAGAGTGAATAGTCTGTCTACTGACCAATACGGCGTTTTTTGTTGGCTACAGAGCCATTTCGGCATCGTGGGTAACACACCAGAAGCAGCTGCAGTCTGTCCTTCACCTTCTGATACCATATAGTGTGAGTATAAACCGTTCATCAAAGATGAGGGCGGTCGGGTAGCCTAGTGGTTAAAAAAGCGTTCGCTCGTCACGCCAAAGACCCGGGTTCGATTCCCGGCAGGGGTAAAATGTGTGAAGCCCATTTCTGGTGTCCCCCGCCGTGATATTGCTGGAATATTGCTAAAAGCGACGTAAAACCATACTCACTCACTCGTCAAAGATTAAGTCCATGAGTATTTTTAAATGTATATGACCCCCCCAGTGCGTGTCCCTTGTGACTGGGTGGACTTTTCCCTCACACGGGTTACTTTTTATCAAGTTTTAAATTAAAATGATCTTTTGATATAAGTAAATTCTCATTCAACTATGGGTTTTAAAAGGGAAAGATGTTTTACCAAAACAGTTTGAATAAATGTGTTTAGATGAGTTTGATATAATTGAGAACTTATATTATAAAGACGGTGTCATTTTAGGGGTTTGCAATATCGTCCCGTGATGGTGGCACGTAAATCTAAAAAGTATCTCAGTGCACCGGAAAAGAAACTTAATTTTCTGAAGAGGGTTTTGATTTATGGCTAGTGTTGTCTACAATTGCCAGTAGCTTGTGTGAGAGATGGCTTCAACCCTGATTGGCACTTTTGAAGTTAACAGAGGTATTATAAGTCCCCATGGTCCCCAGTAAGAAGGTGTAGTTTTGGTTGCTGATATTTTTAAATTTTGAAAGGTGCTGTTGATGTATGTGTTGATTTGATTGCTTTAGTAGTTGAAATGTTTAAGATTGAATCTACAGTTTGTAGGGGGCACGGATGGCCCAGTCGTCTAAGGCGCCGCGATTCGCTGTGCAGACTTGCGTCCATTGGGCATGCCAGAAACCTATGATTGTGGGTTCGAATCCCGGTTCGCCCCGATTGTTTCTAGGTTTGTCAGCACCATACCCGTGCTCGTGGGTTGCACCGAAGTGGTAAACATCTGAGACCTGCATCACTTCGGGCTTTCCTCCCACATTAAGCTGACACGCCGTGATATAACTGGAATACTGTTAAAAGCGGCGTTAAACCCAACTCTCTCACTCACTACAATTTGTAATTGTATTGCTGTCGCTTGTGGCAGATCGATTTCTATATAACTTTTCTCATCTCTATATGGCTGACCTTCTGTCGAGATGACGTTAAATAATAACTCTGTAATAAGACAAATAAACCATAAGAGACTCCACAAACGACGTTCATAAATATCTATGGTCATTCAACATGTCTTTATGCAAGAATCGGTTATCGTTCCACAAAGAGGCTTGCTGAAGAGACGTTTTCTCTTCGTTGTAGTTGGACTAACAAGAGTCTTACTGTTGGTATACTTAGGCTAATTAATTAAATAATATCGACAAAACCTATTCTATAATCATACGAAATCTCTTCTAAGTCCATTGTACGATTCCGGCTATGTCATAAGAACATATGTATTAATCACTATCAAATATTGTTGATATCAGTTGTTCGCAAAAAGGTGTGCGTATGCTGCCCCACCGGGGGCACCCATGTGCATAACAAACTCATGCAAAGGCAAATCAATTGGTAAATGGAAAAACACAAGTCTCCATAAGTCAAACATAAAACATTTTGAAAGCACCATTAAAAACAGTAATTATGACAAGACGCCATTGATTATGACAAGACGCCGTCCCTACCGACTTTCTACTTTCATTTTACGATTTCTACATATTTAAATGATTTGACTCCAGAACATGATATTAAACAGAACACTGTGTAAACATGACCATAGGCACATGCTCGAAAAACTTAACGCCCCCTGTCCTTCTCGCTCCTCTTCCCTCTCCATCCTAATAAATATTGAAAAAAGTGATTTTGATAAATACACCTTCACACACCATTCAACAGATCATTTTTGTTGGAAACAAGGTACTATGTTTCTATAATCAACTCACCGCTCACAGTTGCTGTTAAACTTGTTGTAACTTGACATAGTCAACACACCGCCAAAGCCAGCACTCAAAGAGTAAAATACCTGAGTAGCTGCATCTCCCCACACCTGAATTTCAATGAGCAAATGGTGACAAGATGGCAATTGATTATTTCTAATCGGTCTTCCTTCTGTTTTGTATTTGTTATATGATATTTAACTATTTGATTTGATAATGTAACTTGCCAGCAGGAAAATAAGAATTATTCTGCTTATTCTCTGCAAAAGTAATGAATCAAAACTTTATAAATTAGCAAACCTTGGCCTCTGTCAACCTAGGAAGCTGTGGTGTCATGTAAAATGAGATTCCCTTCTCGTGTCCTGGCAGCGTCACGCCCCGGATCAGCAGCACCAGCATGATGACGTAGGGGAAGGTGGCGGTGAAATACACGACCTGGCAGGGAAGTATGAGCAGCTACACACATGTTCACATATATACACGCTTTTTGACAAAAACGTGTGTGTGTTCGTTGAAAAAATAAAATTGTACATATATAATGAAAATATTGAGTGAGTGAGTGAGTGAGTGAGTGAGTGAGTGAGTGAGTGAGTGAGTGAAATAAAGTCACATCGGCTATATTTCAGCAATATCGTGAAAGTTGGACATTGATGATAATTATATATTTACACTATACCCTATCAATAAAGGACAGTAACATTACTAGATTATCACAGTTGTATATGTAATAATTATATGTAACCACACAAAGATATCACTATACATAATACGACGTTATGAAAATTGGCAATAGATGACTAACATCAAACAGCTTGATAAAAGCGTTTATATATAAACTTTAACTAAATAAGAAGACTTCCCAGTATTGAATAATCAAACTGCCTGCAAAGTAGACAGTTAACCTCGGATTGCCAGGAGTAGGAACTTGACCATACAGAAGAAATCGAGCTACATAAGTTCTGGATGAGATGGAATGATCTACTTTGTCCCAATACGTATTCATTGTCATTAACCGTCAAATTGGATAACAAAATTATGGAATACTGTAAGGGACATTCTCGCGATCTCGACCTTTGGAAACGAGGTAAATATGCCCCAAACACGAGAATGCGAGATCGCGAGAACGCGAGATTTGGCCAAAATCTCGCGTTCTCGCGATCTCGCATTCTCGTGTTTTTGGTACATAGCACTTTTTGTCAAATGTCGACAACGCGAGAATGCGACATTTGGACATAATGCTAAATCTCGCAATCTCGCAATCATGACTTGTCAAATTAGGCCACAAAAACACGAAATCGCGAGAACGCGAGAATGCGACATTTCATTTTCTCGCGATCTCGCGTTTTTGACGCTGTCCGTGCGCATGCATATTACATAGGTCAAGGCTCATGCGCACGTTAGTAGTCCTTTGGTCATGCTTCTTTCATGCTCTTCATTTTCCAAGTAGCATTTAGCAAAAGTATGACTTGAGCTTGAAAATGCTATTTAATTTACAAACACAAAGTCCTATGTGGAAAAGAGTAGAGTCCTCTCCCGTTGTGACACTTCCCTGTGTACTTTATACTAAAACCCTCAACATGCTCAATATAATTAAACAAAAGAAATTGTGTACATGAATGTCCAATGATAGTGAAAACATTAATGTGTCCGAAAGCTGGAAACAAAACTATCACCGTCAGTGAGTGAGAGTAATATTGCTTCAAGCCGCATCAGCAGTATTGGAGCTTTTCGTGGCTACACTGTCAGTTACAGAAATAATCACAAGCCAGTGAGTTTCTCAATGAGGCAATTTTATACACGGCTAGAATATTCATTAAAATACAATTCTCACAGACCAATTTGTAGCATTCGGCTAAAATGATATTTTTTTAATACGATACCACATTCGCTACTTTAATTAATAGATTTTCATCCGCTCCCGCCTGACAACAAAACATCCTGCCTTACATTATTCTAATGCCCTCAAATTCCTAGAAATAGAAGTATCGTTTATATGAGTGTTCCTACTTTCCTACGTTCCTACCCGATAAAATACTCCGTACACGTAGCCCTACTGAACGCACATGATGCATGTGAATCGCACCCGCCGACAGCAATTGTACACATATGCCTAAAGTAGGTCGATAAGAACAAAATAAAACGTTAAAAATAAAATGCCTCCTGTCTCCCAAGATTTTAAAAAATCAGTCAAACTGTAACTATTAATTTATTGCGGCCGTAACATCCAAATGACAGGCATGCTTATACTGGAAAAGTACTCCCAATATCCTTCCTGAGGGACCGGCATGGCTCTGAATAAGTGAGTGAGTTTGGCTTAACACTGCTTTGAACAGTATTTATATTTCAGTTATATCCCGGCTTGTCAATTTAAAGGGGCACTCATCTTCACTATTTGCCATGAATCGATTTGCTTGCTGACGCAACTGAGGGTGACAAGAGACTGGGCTACCGTCTACAAGAACACTGATTGGTTACCTGTAATCTATGAATCTCAGACAAAGGGCGCATGTTAATTAATTTCTTCAGCCTGAACTAACGGACAAAAAGAACGATGGAAGCCCCTCGGGTGTCGTTATTTGCAAATACCCAAGATGGTTATCGTTTAATAGTTAAAAAAATGGTATCCCAGCAGTGAAAGCATTTTCGGATTTTGGATTGCGCGGATAATACGATTGCTATCTCTTGTTGTCATCCACGTTATCTGGCATAACCCTACACCGTTGTCTTTGTTGCCATTCACTTGAAGCTCAGTAAATGAACCTGTTACAGGTATAGTTAGTGGTTTTCACTATCATTGGACATTCATGTACACAATTTCTTTTGTTTAATTATATTGAGCATGTTGAGGGTTTTAGTATAAAGTACACAGGGAAGTGTCACAACGGGAGAGGACTCTGCTCTATTCCACATAGGACTTTGTGTTTGTAAATGACATAGCATTTTCAAGCTCAAGTCATAATTTTGCTAAATGCTACTTGGAGGATGAAGAGCATGAAAGAAGCATGACCAAAGGACTACTAACGTGCGCATGAGCCTTGACCTATGATATTATGCATGCGCACGGACAGCGTCTAAAACGCGAGATTGCGAGAAAATGAAATGTCGAGATTGCGAAATTTTGATATTTTGCATCATGTCCAAATGTCGCATTCTCGCGTTGTCGACATTTGACAAAAAGTGCTATGTACCAAAAACATGAGAACGCGAGATTTTAGCCAAATCTCACGTTCTCGGATTCTCGTGTTTGGGGCATATTTACCTCGTTTCCAAAGGTCGAGATCGCGAGAATGCGAGATCGCGAGAATGTCCCTTACAATATTCCATACAAAATGCATTTCTGCAGAAATATCTGGTCCAATTTATCAACTTCACTTCATAGGGTTAGAGTAGCCTCCTTTTAATAGAGGGTAGTTACTCCAGCGGCCGGACCGATAGATTGCCATGAAAGTCAAATAGAAAAAATATGCGAGTAGGCAATTGTTATTTTGCCTATATGTAGTTACGCTACTGTCTAAGAAACAGGGTTAAGTTGGAACTGTGTAAGCCGTTGTCACTGTCTGACAGACAAATCACTGACCTTCTGGCGTAATTTATATTACTGCGCACATTCCAGGAAAATTTGCAATGTTTACATAATGTCTATGAGAGATGACAACATGTTTTTTACCAACAGAGTTTATGGTTGGTTGGTTGTTGTTTAACGCCCCATTCAGAAATATTCTAGCGGTCTGGATAGCGGTCTGGAAATAATCGAGTCTGGACCAGACAATCCATTGATTAACACCGTGAGCATCGATCAACGCAATTGGGATCGATGACATGCATCAACCAAGTCAGCGAGCCTGACCACCCGATCCCGTTAGTCGCCTCTTACAACAAGCATAGTCGCCCTGTACGGCAAACATGGGTTGCCGAAGACCTATCCTAGTCCGGATCTTGAATAACCATGCAAAATATAATGTTTCAAAAACAAACGCATCCTGCAGTTAAAGAGTACGTCATATCAATTCATATTAATGACGCAGCCTTGCAGCAGCTTGCATTGCTTTTGAAAAAATTACTTGTGTTTACACCTAAATGAACACTGCTCCATTTGTATAACGTTATTTTTGTTAAATTATTATATTATTTGTACCGGAACACTCTCTACAATTGTACTAAAGGCCTATCAAATTACTGGAATTACTACCAGAACTACTTTCAGTTTAAAACCAGGATTATAATTATTTTTTCTGTCTACCTATTGTCACTGTTAATGGAGACAAGATTGGAAGTAAATTGAAATTTACATACAACGATAATTTCATGTTTTAGTCTGAATACATGTGATTAAATATTACAAACACCTGTCCAACCTGGACAGAGGAAACAGAGGAAAAACAAAGAGTGTGTACATCGTCATGCACTGAAAGAACACTTTTTATAACTTCAAAAATAAGTCTAGGTCATAACATGGTAGTGCATGTATACTCACTACCAAAATAAACGCGGATACCATGTTGGTTAAGATATAAAGACTTGCTCATATTCAAGAGATATTAGATTGGTTCGATGCAAAAAGGAACATACTGGTAGCAATATAATTCTGCAATATTTCTCGACAGAAAAGCATTCCCATAGCCGATTTGTGGGCAAATGGTCATACGTACATGTTACGACATAAAATAGATCAATTCATCCATAGCTTTCCGAAGAGTTTGCTCATGCAGCTCGATTCCTTCTGTATGGCCAAGTTCTGGCCAAACTTGTCTCGCCCTGCCTTCTGATTTTAATAGCAGAAACTTACATCAGGAAGTCACAAATGTGAACGTGAACTACTTTATCACAGATCTATACATCAGAAACACCAAGAACTACTATATGATGAGCAATAGTGGCCGAGTCAATATGCCCCTCCAGAGATTGGGAAACCAATAATTTGTGTTTGGGTACCTTGCCGGATGATTTGATTCCTTTCTTCAGAGAGAAGAAGATGAGGAGCCAGGTCAGGAATAGGCACATAGTGTTCTTTAGACTGAACCCTCCCAAATCCTCAAATCCATCCGATTCATGGAGACGAAGTACATAGCGCCAAAATTACAAATATCATCATTATATTAATTATTATTAAATGCGTTCAATAGTATCATGCCTGTTCTCGATAATCAAAACAATTTGTTTTGAGATGACTATTTATACTGTGGGGAGCATGTATGAAAATACAACTGTTTTCCAATTTAAATTAAGTTGAAGCATAAGTGCCTCTGATGCCTTCACAATAGGTAATGGACAAATTAGCCTCAACCGCTTCCGTCAATAGACGAATCGGATACTCACTCCCAGTACTCTTCACTGGCTGTGGTGTACTTGATCAGGCAGCTCTTGGTGATGTCGTCTTGGATTATGGTGGAGTTGAGGTCATCGGTGCTGTTGAAGGTGGAGTTGTAGACGTCGGAGATGTTGCTTAGGAGGCCGTCTAGACATGGTTGATTGTACAGCACTTCTGTAGACAAATGAATAATGCTGGTAATATTTAATGTAACGGCAGAGCCAATAAAAGTAAAGCCTAAAAGGACAGCAATTGATTTACTGGGACGGAGAGGTAGCCTTGTGGTTAAAGCATTCGCTCGTCACGCCGAATACTCGGGTTTGATTCCCCACATAGGTACAGTGTGTGAAGCCCGTTTCTTGAATCCCCGTCCGTGATATGGCTGGAATATAGCTAAAAGAGGCTAAAAAGTCACTCACTCATTCACTTACCAAACAAAAAAGATAGGGTTGACCTATGGATTTCAATTTCTTTCTTTTTTCTACATCCAAGGAGCGGTTGGGTAACCTATTGGTAAAAGCGTAACCTTGTCGCTCCGAAGACGGGGTTCGATTATTTACATGGGTACAGTGTGTTAGGCCCACTCCTGGTGGCTTCCTCCGTAATATTGCTGGAGTATTGGTAAAAGTGGCATAAAACCACATTCAGTGACTTTAAATCCCAAAGCTAACTCTATCGTCATTGTCACTACAGTTTTTAAGTGCCACTAAAGAAATCTTACTAAACAGAGTCGTTGTTTTATTTGCCTCATCCATCGACGTTAGCAGAGGGAAAGGCTCCGACCGACAGGAAGCTGTGTTCCAGAGATTGCCACACGACCCCCAGGGTACCCTGTCGTCAAGGTTAACGAAGCTGACAAACATGTAGTAGATGGCGTACATAACGACGACGTTGTAGTAGATGACAACGATGGTCATGGTGATCACGATAGCCACCCCGATACCTGGAATAAATCAGAAGAAAAGGGGATTTACATACATAAGTGAAAATGAAAATGTCTTCTTCTATCATCCATATTTTGTAAGTAGAAAAGGCAATGTTTTATACGGATGTGTAACATCGTACATAAGACCTGAACGAATTGATAATGCAGGTTAAAACATATGGCAGATATATATATATATTCAGAGATAATGTAATACACATACAGTCGTTGAATCTTGAATTGGGATGGAGAAGTGATGTAATTTGTGTATGTACAATGTAAGTGGAATGTCTTTTTTTCAATATGTGTAATGCACTGCAATGCCCGAGGAGTAAAGCTATGTGTACATGATCCTGTATGGAGAAATGTCATCAGATTATATATTAATGTCGTACTTAATTCGAATGTTCACATGCAGCCGTCGCATGGCAGGAGTATGAGAGCAGTATTAGGCAACAAACAAAAACTTGCGGGTGCTACTGGTAACGTAGGACACGTTGATTCTGTTCGCGGATACAATGTGTCATCACTGATTTTCAGTGATCCATTCATGCTTCATATAACGTAGTGTAAATGTAATGTTATTAAGAATAACAACATGATATTTAGTCAATATCTTATCATTACAAATTCATTGACAAAACCATACCTGGTAACAGGAAACAGAGCGACACAGCCTGAAAGTAGTGTAACAACTCAATTATAAATGTCAATGTCGGCTGTGGCCACCATTTGCAGTGATACAAGCGAGGCAGAAGGGGTGCATTGAAGACACAAGATGATTGAAATGAGCCTGGGGGCTGTTGTTCCGAATGTAAGCCAAAGAGTGGACCAAATGAACTAGCTTTACCGGTTTGTTCTGTTCCTGTCGTAGGGGTCGTTATATTTCATCCCAAATGTTCTATGGGAAGAGGTCTGGAGAAACGTAGTAGTACAGAAATGTTATGTTGCCTCAACATGAGTTGTTGCTGCAAGAAGAACTTACGTCCCTGCATTGGAACAAAGGGTAGAACTTGATGTCGCTACAGTCGCGTACACCATACATATTGCCATTAACAATGATGAGTTGTTTTCTCCCATGAGTTGTGATGCCACACCATACCATTACGTTTTCACCCCCAACCTGACGACGTTGAGTAACGCAAGCCTCGCTAAAACGTTCTACTGAACGCTTGTAAACCCTTGCACGACCATCACAGCTGTACAGATGAGACGGGGACTCATCTGTGAACAGCATACTGTCCCAGTCTTGTCTTCCGAATCGCAGATGCTGTATACACCAAGCCAGGATGTGGAAGCAAATTCGGCATATCACTGGACGTCTGGGCCGGATGTTGTGCTCCCTGAACCGCTTGTGAACGGTTCTGCCACTAAGTGGTATCAGCCCAGGACTTGTCCGAGGTATTACTGTGGCAATTTGGTATCCATTCCGTAGATGCACCAACCAAATATGGTTGTCTTGTTGACGTGACTTCACACGTAGTCGAACGGCACGTTGTCAGTCATGAGTGTTGCTCTGCTATAGATTACATCTCCAAAGAAAAAAATGTGTGTTGAGATGAACATTACAATGTCTGGCATCTTCGTTTTGCGCCATTCCTGTTTGCAACATAGCAACAGCGTAGACGTTGACTTTCAGCAAGCCGTGGCATTAGGTGAGCCTTATTTACAGTCAAATAAAAATGTTTGTTTGAGCACCTGATCACGTGTATGTGTGCCATGCTCCCAACGAAGACGCAAACACCCAAATGAACATGCACATGCAAATTGTCAATCTCGACCTTGATGTCGAGAAGATGTCTTTATGAATATGTATTGAAAGATGCATGTTTAATTTCAGAATAGATATGTTTTGTTCATCTTTATATGAAACACGGTTATTTTTTTCGTTAGTTTTCATCACTACTTTGCCTTATAATGGCCGATGGAATCTGTTTCGGCAGATAATCGAAACCGATTAGTGTCTGACGTAGACGTTTCTAAAAAGAAGGAGGACTATTGCTCATATGACATTCTTTAGGTGTCCAAACAGACCATTACCCTGGAATGCCGGGCTGACCTTCCACACCGTGATCACGCCTTCTGAGGCGAACTGACCGAGGGCCATCTCCATGAACACTGTTGGTAGGCCGATCACCACCATCATGACGAAATAGGGAATGAGGAATGTGGCTGCAAGAAAGGAGTAAACGGTATATTCTCACTGTGGCAATCTGTATGTATCGACAGGCAGTTAGATAAGTCATTAATGAATATGCACCTTTCACAATTGATATCTTTTAATGTGAATTAAATCATCGCATTTTATCAGATGTACTGAGGTCATTAACAATAATCAGTGAAGGCATATGACCATTCTAACATGGTACAAGGCTACAAAGATTAGACAACATTCCAGAAAACCAACCTCCTCCATTCCTATAGCAGAGGTAGGGAAACCTCCAGACTGTTCCAAGACTGGCAGCGTAGCCAAAACAAGACAGCAGGAACTGGACCTTGTTTCCCCAGGAACCTCTCGCATGATCCTGAATTGGTAAGTAGAGCAGTGAATGTATTATTGCTAAGAAAGCGCCCCCATCCACACCCCCACCCCCACACCCACTCCCACCCCCACAGCCACCCCTACACACACACACCCCACACCCAGAGTACCACAGGTACATTATTGAGAAATAATATAACATCTCATCGCCATCCATTGTTATTGTTATGTTTTAAAACTGTTGTTTTCTTTTAATAATTTTGTATGCTCCTAAGGTTCAAAGTTGCGTTGAGGTTCGTTGATGAGAATCAAAACGAGCAGACATGATTATCTGCCTACGTTAAAAATCAATATGCCACTAACATACAGAACCCCTACTGAAATGTGCTGCTCTCGTCAGTGTCAATAAATCATTCCAGTTGTCCAGCAAATAAAGTCTCTTGGTTCTTTTCAATTGAGGGGGAAATAATTACGTAATCCTAGGAATCAAAGGGATTACTGAAAAAAAATATTAAGTCATTCTAGATAACAATCACCAACAATTACTTTTAATAAGGAACGATTTACTGAACAATCATGATCTACACCAAGTTAAAGGAAGCAATACATGGTTGAGGCTGCATTTTACAAAAGTAATAAAACTGATAATAAAAGATGTTTTACTTCCTATTTTCAATTACTCGCACTTATTATTATGTATTATTGCTAAGAAAGCGCCCCCTGCCCCAACCCCACACCCGCCCCTACACATACACCCCACACCAATTCAATTACTCGCACTTACAAACAAATGACAAAGAAAGGAATACTAGAATACTGACCAACTTTCTAAATATGCCTCGAAATATAATTTCAAAACAAAATAATTACTACTAAATCATCATTGTGATACAGCCCTAACATATCATTCAAATGATCATGCGATTAATTGTTATGATAGGATTGCAGGTTACAATAAGGTCCATACTTCCACAGTGTTGTCAGAAAAGCTGACTTAACAAGGATCGCTTTGTTTAAATGTATCATCTTGTTTGACGTCTTGATTGTTCGAAACATCTCGTCAAAAACGTCTTTTTTGTACAATCAAAATGGCTTGAACGACAAGTCCCCAACACAATCCAGCATAATCTGTGGGTGATTAATTTCAACTTGTCTATGCCCCTATACATCTGTGTAGAGAGTGATGCCTGTGTGCAGACTAAAGCTCCCGTGCACCTGCAAAGGCGATTTCATTAGCTCATTTTGTGTCGTTCAGTTGGGACTTATCCTGTTCTACATTCCTTCCACTAACTCCAAGGAACATATGAATGCACTGTCATTTGCGGATGCAGAATTCAGGCATAATGAACCTTGGTCGAGTACTGAAGAGTTGTTTAACAACGAAGGCTCGACTTAGAAGGTTTAACTTCTATTTCAGGACAAATGTTGAGACAACTTTAAGCAAGAATTGAATTACTGTAAAAACTGAGTACGAGTATATTGTTTTTTCCCCTTGATACCCTCTTAATACGACATGAAAAGGTTCAATAAGATCACTTAGAAACTTAGCATCAAATAGCAACCACTTAAAATATGTTCCCGCATGGGCAAGTTGTGGGTCACTCCCGTTTTGTCAACCTTCGCGGTTGTGACTTTCGGGAAGGTGGTTTCAAAATCATTATATCAAGACTGTCTGTTGTCAATATTCTTATAGTTTATGAAACTGGAAAGGTGCATTAGCAAGATGCACCATCCTCAGTAACATCTAGGTGATGATTACTGTCTATAACGAGTAATAGTATACTTATATCACGATGTCATAAAACCAGTAATATTACAGCTGCATCAATGAGTTTATATTCATTGGTCATGTTTATGGAAATGAAAATCCTTTTAAAGCTCAAACAAAAATCTCTGTCAAAATCGACCGTCATGTGGTGATACCTCTTAATAATGCAATATATTTTCATATACTTCTCATTTAACTGTTATATAAATTAGAACGTGTTACATATTGATCAGATTTTTCAATACCAATTGAAAAAAAACACAAAATATGTTTAATTAAGAGATCACGTACACACATGGTCACCGATTACACTTACCTCTGCTGCAGCGCTCATGGATTTTTTTTCAGTCACAGCTTAGCAAACAGCTTATCAAAAACAGCTCCACAATGCACGGGCGAGGTTGTCTATACACAGTGTGACGTTACAGTGACAGCAGGTGTGGTACGTTTGTGTGCAACTAATGAAAGGCCTTGTTCTGAATCACATGACCATTCTGAATACATATCCCCCAACGCCATTATCATCTCCTTTGGATACCTTTCAGCGTCAAACATCTGCGCTGTACCGTTGGATACCTTTCAGCGTCAAACATCTGCGCTGTACCGTTGGATACCTTTCAGCGTCAAACATCTGCGCTGTACCCTCGTATCTCAAAGTGTAGGGTTAGCTTTTTGCTAATGAGGAATCCTCTCCGAAAAAACGTGTTTTTTCTTATTTCCGTTTTCAACGACCTCAGTATAATTTTAGATACTTAACGCCACTTCCGATATATTTCATGAATGTATGAGGGGCAGTGGCTCCGACATCTTATTAAGAATGCCATGTAAAATACAAAGAAAATGATAGTCAGTGAATTTGAAAGTTTATGGACACTGTGCAGTGATCTGAGAGAGTGTGTTCATGATAAATACAAGGGAAACGGGTGGTTTCGCATTGCAGAGTTGCTTCCCCTTATGCATTCAATTATCCTTTAATCATTGTGGTCAAATCCAAGATTCACCTTGATTCATTTGCTGAGGTCTCTGAAGCCAGATACCGTTCTAAATCAATACCTTCGTCCCCGTCTACAAAGTCAAACCCTCGGCCAATGCAGTTTGGGTGCAGGAAATGGTCGTTGATTGTTGTCTATGACTGTAGCGGAGCGGGGCATCTCAATGATGAGTAAACAATCTTGCTCTTGCTGGCACTCAGCACAAGTTAATGTAATTTTAGATTTGATTATAAACCAGTTAGATCCCTTATATTTTCAAAGTTAATTCATCAACTCATTTCCATTATTTAAAGAAAACAGATGTTTAAAATTGCTATCAATTACAGGTCTACCAGGTTATTTGACGTCGGCGTCAACGTTATGGCCCTTTTTTATTTTATCAACCACTGTTCTACATGATTGTATAACGTCGGCCTCAACAATACTGCTATTTGTTCATGTTGTCAACCTCTGGTCTACCTGTCTGTATAACGTCAGCCTCAACGGTACGGCTACATGCTCATTCTATCAACTACTAGTTACAAGGGATCATTGACATGCCGTGATATTGCTGACTGTGGAATAAAACAGCACTACTTCCACACTTGATGTATTTACTTTCAATACACTTCACGAGAACACCATTGTACCCTTCTGGAACGTGTTCTTTCATTACTGCGTAGTATAGCCGATTTTATTAAACGCTTGTTCTTGCATCTGATGCGACTGTTTATGGCTTTCTGAACACTTAGAAATGTAACAGCTTTGAACTATTACTCCCAGTTGCTTTCAAAACCGAAGTTTCTCATATCTTCTTTCATCTGATGAGAAGATATTGTCCTTGTGCTGCTAATATTAATATCACAAAGAAACACTTTAATATATTAGCTCCAGTGACAACAATCCGTGTACTGATAAAGTCCATCTGGTGTCCCAAAAGCAGACATCTTCTTTGCACGCTTTGTTAGTGATATCACCTTATACCCTTTGAAAAGGTCAAACTTATTCATAAATTTGTTTAACCAATTCTGTCAATACAGTCATTAATTCTTGGAATAGGGTACGAGTTTTTAGATAACGTGTTCACCATTTTCAGGTCAGTACAACATAGGTAGGTGTTGTGAGTGAACATTCCAAACCTTCTCGAACGATCAAGCTTGCAGTGGTTGTTTACAACAAGCAGGGCAGGTAACTCTTATTGACTCACTGGCCACGACAACACTCGACATTAACCAGCGTTTTAGTCATTTGAAGCCAATGACAATACTACAAATAAATTTACAACAATCTCTACTGCCAAAACCATTTTCTATCACCTTAGTTCTATTACCTTTTGCTCAAAATCACACTACTTTAAAGCATGTGGTCAACAAGTGCATTCATTTAGACATGTTTTATTTAGTACAACAAACGGAGATAATTATCAAATATTCCGTCACGTTACGCGTGGTTACTCACAGGCGCGAAAACAGTCTTTCATTGTATTAAACATGGCTTTCACAAACATCGTTCACGCTAGCTGATGGGTTCCCCTTCTCACTACTAATGTTGATGGGGTTTCACTCGTGATTGGGAACATTAACAGCGACGAAGTATCTTCCTGTCCGGTTTTCCTGGTTGGCAGGTCCCCAGCTTGTTGTTGGGGCGAAGGCGTTTTTCTGAAAAGTAAACAATCCATATGAATGCATCACATATTTCGACTAGCTAGCGTCTGCAAACTGTTAATTCAGTTAGTGTTCAACGGGTTCCATGTCTTGGGATCAATATGAACCTTCCATGTAAAAACTGCAAAGCATCTATGACTTTTTAAATTGCAAGTGCTCTATGTTAAACGTACGGGTCCCAGTCTGTAGATTTGTACCACCATAACGATGAGAGTGATAGCAACAGGGGTGACAACTATACACCAGCCAATGCCCTCAGCCCACGGAGGGAACTTGTAGTCTCCATAGTAAGCTGGAGAGTACTGAGTGGCTGACACGATCACGAGGAACTGAAACAAACATGTATATAGTGCATCTGTCTGTATATTACATAATTAATAAATGAATCTGTCAATTCAATTTATTTAATTTAGCTCCACAGAAATATCCTCATACTCTTCACATCATCTCGTCTTTATGCCGTCATGTATTGTTTTATTTTCTTTATGTATCCTAATATTAATCTTTCCACATGAGGCTGACACACCATAATGCAACTGGAATAATTAAGAAGTGACTCCAACGCTGTTTGCGTTTATAGATGTATAAACGTTAAACCTGGCGCGCACACTGTGCCACTCCGTGTAGTTGATTAGCAGTGTGCAGTCCGGTTTGTATATTGATATCTCCATGATCAGAAGCAAAAATATTGAAGTCAATTCGTCTACATTTTAATATGTCAACAATAATAACTTCACCGACTGATTATTTAAACATTTACACAAAAACAGTGAGTGGGTAGGTGGCTGAGCTGAGCTGAGTGAGTGAGAGAGAGTGAGTGAACATTGCTTGATTGGTGATCATCACACGCCACGGAATCATTAGAGCAAGCTCTAAGACACAAGCCGAGAACACCTACAAGTAGGCTGAGGGGAGTCAGGAAGACCCAGTTGATGACCCAGTAAGGGTTGGGTCGGTGGCCAATCATCATCTCGATGTCCTCCCTGAACTGCTTCACACCTGTAGAACAATAACATATATTGTTGCTTCACATGTACACCCTTACTAAAGTCTAAATCAAGATGAGAAAAATAACAATTTATGAAGTAATGTTTTGGTTCTGGATAAAGGAGACGCTTTTAGTTATGACACGTTTTCATCAGACTGTTTAAAGGTTTTTTTTATAATCTAGTCTGATGACACCGATACGATAGAGAGACTGTTTCGCTTTGAGTGCGTGAGTGAGTGAATGAGTGAGTGAGGCAATAAAGGCGACAAAACTCTTTCCATAATCAAAGATATCTCAGCTAAAAACAATGTGCATTGTACGATTCCAACAACATTACAAGCATATGTTTATGAATCAAACGGTGATGATAACAGGTGTTCGCGAAAATGGGTATATTGTGTTACAATAAATGATCATTGCGGTAATAATTTCCTCCACATGTCAACCATTAAACCTTTTTGAAAGCGTTTCTGAGGTCTTGAATGGGCTAACCTTGATCAAACAACTTTTGAGTAAGAGTTATATGACCCTCTTGGAAACCATAGAAAGAGCATGCTTGATTGTACCTCAAAAGTTGTAAAAGGTAGCCACAAAACGCTGAAAAGCTGTTGGAATATCGCTCCACATATAGAAAGATGACTATTGCAAAGTTGAAATCATCCCGCTTGTCATACAATCTTGGACTGCACACTGCTAATCAACTACACGGATTTTAGTTCGTTATAACTGTAGTTCGTTATAAACATACACACAACATATATACAACACATGTCCGGGACTAAAAAAAAAGTTCGTTATATCGGTACGTTCGTTATAAGCGTGTTTGTTATATACATAGTTTACTGTACACTGCTTTTGAAATTGTCCAACTGGACGTTACATTCCTGTTTGTAACATGTACATCAGAGTAAGGTAAGATTGTCTAGTAACAATGCATTGTGTTTAGTATTGCTAATTAAAATTACGATCTAAGTATCCGTACTTGTACCAAGAATATCTCTCTCTTCAAAATTTAATGTTGTCAGCATTTTTCGGAGGTTCTATTTTTCTAGCTTTCAAAATCGATAAATGTCTTCATAATTGGATCAAGAAACATATATTTACACATTACTATTGACAGTGTTTATTTGCATTATGTGCGGAAACAGATAGTCCCTTTCGAAACTATCACAGAGCGTCCATACCATAGACACACATGACGCAGATCAACTGTGCCAGAGCAACGAGCAACAGGTTGTAGCTGGCGATGTACCAGTCCATCAGTGTCAGCATGTTAATACCGCCCTGAGTTGAAACAAAGACGACAATCAGTGCTGCATACAGGTAAATACAACCCTGGATAAAACAGATAATGTAATGTTTGTTTGTTTGTTGTTTAACGCTGCACTCAGCACTATTCCAGCTGTACGACGGCGGTCTGTAAAAAATCGAGGTCTCAACCACAAAATCAAATGATTGATATCATGAGCATCGCCCGACGCAATTGGGATACGATGACATGCATCAACCAAGTCAGTGTGTCTGACCAACCGATCCAATTAGTCGCCTTTTACGGCAAGCATGGGTTGCTGAAGCCCTATTCTACCCCGGATCAGATAATGTAATGACAGCTTCGAACATGTTGAATGACCATTACCTTTGTGCATACAAAGCTTGTATAATCATTTGATTACATTAATAACAGTGAGCCGAAACAGACAATCGATCCACGTCAAAATCTAATAAGTTACATTAGTAATCGTCAGTCCTGCATCAGTATTTGATTTTGTATGTATATATTGGAATCTACAAAGCCCAACTATGCAATGAATGATGATGCAAACCTTTGTGACCATGGGCAACCCAAGGAGGAAGCCAAGCAGACAACAGAAGGCGGTGAAGGCAGTCTTGTGGTGCCTCAGGAAGCGTGGGAAGATGTCACTGATGCCGCTCATCACCGTCTGCATTAATGCAAACTAGGAACAATACAGAAGGAGCTTCTATATCCATTACATCACATCTCCGTTTGCATAATTATTACAGACACACAATGTCTTCAGAGATAGGAATCAATATTATCAAAAGCAATAAAATGCATTTATTGCAATTTCTAAGTTACATAAAAGCGACAAAACCCTTTCTATTATCACAAGAAATCTCTGCTAAAAGCATCATCCATTGTACCATTCTGAGCATGTGTTTTGGCCTCAGTAAAGCTTTCAAAAAGTGTTATTGTAGATATGTGGAGGACATTTTCAAATTTAACGCATCAGTGACAAAAATGATGTATGATGCAATTCCCTATTTTGAGTGAGTGAGTCGGGATTAATGCCGCTTTTAAGAGTATTCCAGTTATATCGTGGCGTATCAGCTTAATGTGGAAGGAAAGCCCGAAGTGATGCAGGTCTAAGACGTTTACCACTTCGGTGAAACCCGCAAGCACGGGTAGGGTGCTGCCAAACCTAGAAACATGTTGGAATGTCCGAAGACACATGTTGAGTGATGTCAATCCTACCTGTGTATCCATCCCCATTGAAAACATCATGAAGAAAAACAGGAAGGCCCACAGTGGGGACAATGGAAGCTTTGCAATGCCTTCTGGGTAAGTAATGAAAGCGAGCCCGGGTCCTGAAACAAAGTAAGCGGTGACTTGTATCATCATATACTGAGTCAAATTAAAAACTTCACATTTTAAAAAGTAACCCCATATATGATATACAACGGACAAATGTATCAGAGAAGATAATTTTTAATCATTAATGTCCAAAGAAGGAATTTAATCAACGGTGGTAACCATAATTTGTTCCAAGCACCTACGGTATTCGGTAATAACATCAACAGTTTAAATCATAAGTCCCAAGCACGAGAATCTGATGGCACACAAGTTCAGTAGCGTTTATGACCACCATGTGCGTTGACAACTGCCACACAACGCCTCCGCATGGACCTTGTGATGCTTGTGAACACATGATTGGGAAGACGACGCCATTGTTGCTGCAAAATGGTGCCAAGATCTTGCAAATTCTATGGTTGGTTCTGGAGAGTGCGCAGACTTCTGCCAAGAGCATCCTAGACGTGTTCGATGGGATTGTGGTCGGGAGACCTTGACGTTGACTCCCGCATTCTGAAGGAAATTCCTTGTCAAAATTGCTGTGTGGGGTCTGGCATTGTCATGTTGGAAGATCAAACCGGGTCCATGTGCTGTCATAAAAGGCAGAAGTTCTGGTGCCAGAACCTGGTCGCGGTAAGCAGCAGCGTTGAGGTTGCCACGGATGACAAGAAGCCTGGAACGTGAATTGCCAAAGAAAGCACCCCACACTATGACACTTCCGCCTCGAAATCTGTCAACTTACTGTACACTGGGCGCCTCCACACCCTCGCCCTACCATCAGCAAATCGAAGATTAAATCGGGATTCATCACTGAAGACGACTTGATTCCAATTCCTCTGAGTCCATCGTAAGTGTCGCTGTGCCCACAATTGACGTTGACGTCTGTGTAATTGAGTCAGACTCGGCCCGCAGTATGGCCGTCGTGCTTGAAGGTGAGCAGTTCTCAGACGGTTTCGAACAGTTTGCGCACTCAGTCTACCCCTACACAGTTCATTTCTGGTTGATGTAACCGTCAAAATTCGGTTACGGAGGTGACGTAAGACAATCTGACGATCCTCTGCATGTGACGTCACAAGTGGTCGACCTGGCCGAAGGCGATCAGCGGTGGTACCCGTTTGCTGTAGACGCGTCTGTAAATCTTAAACAGTCCGTCGACTACAACCCATCGTCCTTGCGACTTCAGCTACGGACGTTCCCGTCTGCAACATGGCGATGGCACGTTCACGTTGCACATTTGAAAGGCGTGGCATGACAAATGGCCATAAAGACTTTTGTTTTCTTGTGTTTTTCTTTTTTTGTTAATGACTGCTAACAAGTATGGCTGAAAACACGTGCGGTATTATGGCCACGTGACCAGTTGCACATGAAAAAACACTTTTGCCACTATAGTGCTGTGCACATGATTTTGATTGATTCACCTGCACAAAAACGGGTGTTATCTGAAGACAATACATGTACGTGGCCATTACTGTTTAAATACACAATAAGGGCCCACAATGATAGCTGGTCAAAATGTTAAAATTTTAGGATGGGGAAGTTTTTAATTTGGTTCAGTATAATTATCACGAGTGGCACATGTACTGACGTCCAAAATGAAAGTTATTAGTAGTATGACCATTTTTACAAATCATACAAGAGACAGCGATTTGCAGAAGTATTTAGAAAGTCATCAAAAAGAATATAACATCACACAAAGTGCTATCAGTGACGATGTCAGAGCCAGCGAATAAATTGGAGACAATCATATGAAGTTGCAATGTTCATTATGCAGATGACAAAATATTCTCAATAACCTGTGTGACCTCCCCGTGTCAGCATACAGGCAAATACTCTTTGTCGCATTAAGATTGACAACTGCATGATCACGCTGGATACGTCGCCAGTGCTTTGTCGCACACCACCATCGATGTAACGTTGGGACTACCCATGGTAGTCTAGTTCAAGGTCCTGAACATGACCTGAACACAACACAGTGGTGTACATTACCCACAATGTCGATATTCACATACTCTGCAATCGGCTCTGATGATGATCTGCTTTGATCGGAAAACAGGAACAGTTGCGCATTCCTGTACCACGTCAATCGATGACGAAAGGTGATGATGAAATACATCGCTCAACAAAGTCAGCTGGGTCTGCTTCAAAACGATGTAAATTCTCAAGAGAAATGATGAACCTGTAGCGTTAGTAGGATTTCTGGTCAGGAGCCTTGGAACCCAGCGTGCTGAAACGTTTGTTATGTCCAGTTAATTCCTCAGATTGCTGTCTCATGAGAGATGCCTATTGTAATACTGTGTGTCACCGATAATTTCAGATGTATTTCAGCAACTTTGTCTTTAGTGGTGGCAGTGGATGGTCTTCCTGATCTCGGACCGGACCAGCTTCGAGGCTCTCTCTCTCCCCTTCTTGAACTCCGCTGCCAAAATCATAACAGTGACAAAGGAGGGAGCATTATTCTCTAAAGTTGACACCATGTCCGCATTGATAGCTGATGGAGTTTGTCCTTCTAGTTGGAGATACCTGGTGACAGCGCTGTAGTCACTTTTGTCCATTTTCATCCACAGAGAATACCCAGTCAAGTTGATGCCTACAGAAATATTCTGCCTGACTGCAGCCTGTAAGCATTGAAAGTATTGCACTGAATACATTTAAACTGTTAATGATATATTATACATCATTCACAATTTGGCTCAGAACGTTTCAGCTACCCCTCGTATTTTAATGCACATTGTGACTAACCTTGGTCGACCACGTTCTCCACGTCCTGGTTGGTGGTGTGAGCCATGAATCCGAGGATGGAGAAAACGGTGAAGCCAGTCAGAATACTGCCCACACAGCTGAGGCCAGTAACTAAAAGTGCATCCCTGTAACAACAGCAAACGCGGCTTTCAAAATAATATTATATGCTTTCTGGCGTGTCAGTCTAAGATGAGAGGAAGACCGAATGTGATGCAGGTCACACATGGCTTATATTTAGGTAACGCAGGGGCTGAACCAGCATTTTTAAAGGGAGGGTTCTAAAATATCAAAATCCTCTCTCAGTCAATTTAACTACCTGCAACATACAACGTTTGATTTTTTAAAAGGGGAGACCCCCATCTGGATCCGATAATGTTAAGCACATGAGCACGGATATGGTGCTGAGGAACCTCAAACTAATGTATCAGCCACAACCACCCGGCACATCCCAAACAAATAAACTCCAACAAAAAGGGTGATTCACACAATCAACTCACCTCTCACAGTTGTTCTTAAACTTGTTGTAACTTGACAAGGTCAACAGACCGCCAAATCCAACACTCAAAGAGTAAAATACCTGACTGGCTGCATCTCCCCACACCTGCATAAGACATGACCATATATCAAGCCACAACAGATTTAAATTCCTGCCAAAAAAATGCAAAATGCTATTATTCTGATTAGTTCAGAAAGAGAACACTGAAACAAACCATAATAAGTTACGATGGCTGGTCAAAAAGCTCTGAGCCTGAATCGCCTGAACTAGTCCATGTTGTACATTGTTTGGGTGTATGGGATAAGTGCATTAGCTATTCCACTGTTAAACGCTGGGCAGCTATGTTTAAGGCTAGGAGAACAAGCCTTGATGATGACCCTAGGTCTGGACGTCCCTCAACTTCCATCAATGGAGATTTAATCAAGGAGATGAATAAGATATCTGCTCGTTGGGTGTCAAAGTTTCAAAATTCTGATCTTAAGGACAAATGAACTGACATTGCCAGTGAAAATTTAGAACTAATAGAGGAGGATTTTCCTCAAATTCAAAAAGAGATTAGTAGCGGGTGATGAAAAATGGGTCAACCACTTCTCTGGCACCAAAAAGATTATGTATTCAAGATCAGTGAAGAAAGTTATGGCCACTGTATTCAGTAAAGCAAAGGGTGTGATCCTTGTTGATTACTTAGAAAGTGAAAAGACCGTTACCAGTGCCTACTATGCTGATATGTTTCATCTATTCTATCAAAGAGTTCTACTATTTCATGACAAGGCCTCTTCTCAAACCTCTCGACTCGTAAAAGGCTGCTGTACTACAATGTTGGTTCAAAGAGCTTCCAAACCCTACATACTCGCTAGACCTGGCACCAAGTGATTTCGACCTGTTTCCTAAAGTAAAAGAGCACTTTCGTGGAAAGTGCTCTGACGACCACAATGACCGCAAAGCTGCCGTGAAAGGGCTTTTCAGGGTGACCTCCTAAAACTTTTTCCTGACTGGAATTGAAAAGCTTCACTGTCGATATGAGAAGTTTATTGAAAAGCAGGGAAAATATGTTCAGAAATAAAATTTTAAACACCTTCACAATTGTAGGTTTTGTTTGTTAGGCTTAGAACATTTTGACCAGCCCTCGTATATCTTATGATGATGTCTACCTTGACATCTTTCAACCGAGGGACATCTGGGGTCATGTAAAATGCGATGCCCTTCTCGTTTCCTGGCAACGTCAATCCTCGAATCATCAGGACCACCAGGATGATGTAGGGGAAGGTGGCGGTGAAGTACACGACCTGGGAGGGAAACAGAAGTAACATATCCATGTGCACATAAACAGATGCAAATTCACAAATTATGCAGGTATTAGAGATATTTTAAAAGAAAAAACAATAAACTGCTGGGGGGAAAAAGTATACACTTAAAAATTGGATTTGACCAACAAAAATACAAACCTTATCAAAGCGTTAGTAGGCTGAAAACAGTCGCCAATAACCATTATTGTTTGTTCCATATTTAGCCGCCATCAAATAAATATGGCTGTATACTCGCTTTTATTACATTTCATTGTAAACTTTAAATATCTGAACATTGGTTTGATGTGTGTATGGAAGTCTTGACTAGATATGGGATATGTTGCAAATATTATCAGAAAACTAGCCGCAGATAATAATTTCAACTTTGTCAGGAAATGTTATTTTTTAAAAATTAATTTATAAAACATATATTTTAAAAGTACCAGAAATGCTTCTCCTTAAGTACTCTCGACACAAATTCACTTTGGCAGCAGCAGTCTTTTGTTTAATGACATCATGTCATTGAACAATTACATCATGGTGACGTCAATTGGCAATTGGAAAGTGTTATTTGTAAAATCACTGATGAAATTAACCTTCATATTTCATTCGATGATCTCGGGTTTTTGCTAACAATTTTAGAATACATTCATGACAATGTATACAGACATTTCCCACTAGAGATTGCGAATCATTAGTTTGTGGTACAGTACCTTACCGGATGATTTGATTCCTTTCTTCAGACAGACGAAGATGAGGAGCCAAGTAAGGAATAGACACATGGTGTTCTTTAGACTGAACCCTCCCAAATCTTCAAACCCATCCGATTCGTGGAGACGAAGCACATAGCGCCAAAAATACAAATATCAGAATAATTGTATTTTCATCATTGTAGTATTGCATTCAATAAATTATACCTGTATCTGATAATCAAAACCTTTTTCCTTTGAGATGATTAATTAAATCTACTTATGGAAGACTTTTACTTTCTAATATGTGTGTCAATGATTACGGAAATGTAGAATACGAGATTCGGACAAATACAAGAACTGATACTTACTGCCAGTATTCAGCACTGGCTGAGGTATAGGTGATCTTGCAACTCTTGGTAATCTCATTCTGGATCATGGCAGAGGTTAGGTTGCTGGTACTGATGAAGGTGGAGTTGTAGACATCGGAAATGTTGCCGAGGAGACGGTCTACACAAGGTTGATTGTACAACTCCTCTGTAGAAGAATGCATAATAATTTACATACAAACTAAAGGATATATATAAGAGAATGACATGAAAGTGTACCAGCCTAACCGCATGATCTATTTTGTCGCCTGTTACGACATGCGTAGGTTCCATAGGGATCTGTTCCAAACCGCAATGCCAATGGGGACCAGTTGTGTATTGTATTGCTCTGTGTTTATTCAAATGTTTCAATCAGTAACAACACACAATGTGTGTTACATCTAAAGGTGTCTGTACACCTACTGAACAAAGTCATTGTTTTGTTGCTCTCGTCCATCCCGTCCAGTAATGGATAGAGCTCCGTCCTGCAGGAGTTGGTGTTCCAGGGATTGCCACACGACTCCCAGGGCACTGAGCCATCCAGGCTGACGAAGCTGACAAACATGTAGTACATGGCGTACATGACGACAACGTTGAAATAGATGGAAGCCATGCTGCTGGTGGTTACCATGGCAACTCCGGTACCTGAAACGCATGTACGAAAAGACAAGAAATCAATACCAACCATCCTTGATGTACACAAGGCGTAAAATGAAGTGTTTTGACTGACAGTTTCAATGAAGCATGCCAAACATATTTTCACGGACTATTTCACATGCACAGAAGCATGTTTTAAAACTGCTGATGGCGTATTGGCCGCACTTGTACATTTTTATTTTAGCTGGCACTCGGGAACACTCATTCATCAGATATTAACAATTTCGTCAGAAAAATATGTTTAATAATAGAAATCAATTATCATCTGCGAATGGTATCATGCAGATCTATTACCCCAACGCAATTATTTCATTACCTGTGAATGCTGGAGAGATCTTCCACACTGTGATGGGACCTTCAGAGGCGAACTGGCCAAGCGCGAGCTCGAGAAAATACAACGGCAGTCCTACCACCAATATCATAATGAAGTACGGAATGAGAAACGTGGCTGCAAACAAAATGAATATCTGTCAACACCTGTTGTTATTTGTGTATCAGAAGAACCTGTTGATAATTCACTTTGACCCAGGCAAACCATTAGTCAAAAAACTAATAATGCCATTCAGACAAAATGGCCAACAATCAGCAAGATCACACATTATAAAATGTCCTCCTGAGGACTACGATGTGTGATAGACATTACCTCCTCCATTCCTGTAGCAGAGGTAGGGAAACCTCCAGACTGTTCCAAGGCTGACAGAGTAGCCGATACAAGACAGCAGGAACTGGGCCTTGTTTCCCCAGGATTCTCTCTCTACAACCTGAAGTGAAATGTAACGTCCACAATCAAAATCCTGAAGGCAGAATGTCGATTTGAGTCATTGATAGGGAATGCATCTTCACCTTATTTTGTATTGTATGGAGATTGCCTCCGTGGTTTGGTGGATAGAGCAACCGCCCGGAGAGCGGAAGGTTGGTGGGTCCTTACATTGCTTGAGCACGAGCGCTGAGGAAAACTTGATAAAGGGACAAAGGGATGTCTCTCAATTTCTGGTAGAGTCGGTATTGCGAAACTTTGATCTATGTCAAAATGCCTTGTCCCTAAAACAAGGACTGGTCGGCTCGGAGTCAGTATACTGTGTCTGAGTGGGGTATTCATGTTAAACTGCAGCATGCTATCTCCATGGACGAGCACTCTAAATCGGCATCAGTACTAGTCCGGACTAGTACAAGCAAACACACACACACACACTCTCACACTCACACTCACACTCACACACACGTGCATGCATGTCGCTATATAAGTGAAATAATCTTGGACACGACGTTAAACCCAATTTCACCTCATCTAACATATCAAAAGAGGTTGAGGACATATAGACACTTATGCACGCAGGGACTTACGCACTACGCACGCAGGTCGGTGGTTCAGTCCCCGGACGTGTCCTACCAAAAGGTGTTACGCACTTACACATACACGGGCACTTACGCTAGCACTTGCGCACGCAGGTCAGCGGTCCGATCTCAAGACGCGTCACACCAAAATATGTTAAACACGCCGGCAATTTCCACTACAAGACGAAACTTATGCATGCAAGCAATCAACGTCGTTTTTATATGACAAATCAACCAATACATTTGGACATCAGCTTATAGACTTTGTACATCTTTTGGTAGGAATATACTGAATGACAGGTGGGGGAAAGATGCATTTCACATTTAAAGGATCTCTGTGAGCATGCGTGGTTGACTGTACCAAGAAATCGTCCAACCAATAAAGAATGAAATATCCTGGGTGCCGTTGTACAAAGCGATCTTAGCGCTGAGGTGATCGTAACTCCCATACCTTAACATAGTTTTACGACAGTCGTAGCGCTAAGGTTGTTTTGAACAACGGCACCCTGGTACACAATGATTGGGTAAGCCCTGTAGGACCTCAATGTCATGATGAACGGGTAGAGGCATGCAGACATGGGCACGATTTTCACGAGGTGCTTGAAAACCTGTGTTTGCATGTTTGAAGACAGAATCGATGCACATCAAAGAGCACAACAACATTTGCTGCTGAGGATTGCAACAACTGAATGCACTTATGCCAACTCAATCTCAAAAACTTTGTTTGACGACCAAAGAATTAGGCAGATGCACAGGCATGCTCGAAGCTGGGTCAATACAACGTTACTTTGCAAACGTTTTTTGTGTCAGCCAAATTGTGACCAGCACAGCATGGACTCGATACCATGCGTTTGGATCAGCTCCCAGGGAACATTGTCACACAGCATTCCACCACACAGCGGGAAGACAGATTTCTCCTGATTCCAGCTTGATTGTGTTTGTTGTTTAACGCCACACGCAGCAATATTACAGCAATATGACGGCGGTCTGTAAATAATCGAGTCTCAGCTAGACAATCCAGTGATTGACATCATGAGCATCGATCCGCGCAATTGAGATACGATGACATGTATCAAGCAAGTCAGCGAGCCTGACCACCTGATGCTATTAGTCGCCTCTTATGACAAGCATAGTCGCCTTTTACAGCAAGCATGGGTTGGTCCGGAGGGGACATCATTTTATCGAGTTCAACTACGGCCGTGAGAAAGCGATAGCACTTGACTAGAAAGCGATAGCGAGAAAGCAAGAGTGAGAAAGCGATAGAGCGAGACGAGAAAGAGAAAGCGAGAAAGCATGAGTGAGAAAGCGATAGAGCTAAAAAGCGATATTCAGTGATAGAGCGAGAAAGCGATATTTCCAATTAGTCTGCCCAATCTGTGCAGGGTTTAGTTCAAAGGGAGGCTTTGTTGCCATTTGCAACAGTGAAATGGATCCTAATGGAGTACCTAACATATGTTATCAACCGAAATTCTTTTTTTAAAACATTGGTTGGCACTGGTTCTGGTTATAATTCTTGTGAACAGCATGTGGATCTTGCTAATTTACTACAATACAACAAAATAAACAAAAAGACTAATTATAAGTGAAAAACCTAATTATAAGTGCCTTATTAGTATTTCGATATTTCTATTGTATCTGGTGGATACAGAAAGTACATGATCTAGACTACCAGTTGTCAGACTTTCGGTGGGTTATTGGGTTAGACTTTGTCTGCTAGCGATAAGGTGCCTCACTCTGGCAGCGTTGGTTCGAATCCCGGATGGGGCTCAACCTTAAACAGTACTAGATTCTGTACTTTACTGAGAAGGTGTTATCCCAAACGTAACATGTGTTGATTACAATTTATCTGTTGATTTAGATAAAAACAAGCTACTTGTATTCAAGAATGGTAGCATGTGTCAAGATGAAATAAATAGTTTTATCTTGACACACAGATAGAATGTGAAACATTATATTCGTACCTTCGAATAATATTTTCTTAATCAGCGGCATGGAATAGACATGTTGCTAGTACCACGTTGCAAGCAGAAAAGGTTCTGTGTTGTTTATTTAGGAGATTGTCAGCAATTCAAACTCAACCAAAATAACACATAGATCAAAATGTGTGAGACAAAAATTTGTCCTATTTTGTTGCACGGTTCAGAAATTTTGGATTTAGATAATTGTAAAGAAATTGAGACGATTCATTTAATGTCATGCAAGTAAAATGATCATGTCAAGTGGTAAAACGAGAATATGGTATATATCCCATATAAATGTGCTTAGAAACGTGGTGTAAAATACTGTTAAATTGTCAAAAAATGTTATTTTATGTTTTTGCAAAAAATCGAACTTTCAACAGGGTATCAAAGATTAAGTAATTGCTCCATTTCAATGGTTTTGTTCATATTTGGAAACATCAATCTGTAACATTCTTTCATCTATTTCAGAATTTGCATTTCAATTAAATTTTCAGACGAACAAAGTTTTGAGGCCCTCCAAAAACGGTTTTAAAAATTCTAGTTATTCTTTGTATATAATATCATTAAATATATTTAATATCTCTAAGTTTAGACAGTGACTTTCAAAACTAAGATGCAGTTTCCATCTGTTAAGAATTAAACCGGAATGTACTGCAAACAACCAAGAAACGAGAGAGTATGTTTACAGTGTAACAGATTGTATGTAGAAGATGAGTACTATTTTATCCTTGTTTTTATATGTGTGTCATGTCGTGAGGAATTTCATATCAACATTATTTATACATCCTTCAATAAATATATTAAATGTGCTCATGCCCAGTAAAAATTATGATATGTTTAAAGAATCTGGCGATGTATGTGTACTTTTCAAAAAAAGAAACGCAAAACCAAATTCGTGTGAGGTAGGAAATTACATTTATACAAGGAACCGTACAAGGTATTGAGCCAAAATGATGTGGAGAGAACACTTGATGATCGTAGTCATTTCAGTTATCGGTACATACGAAAAACCCAAAGTGAAGGTCAGCTACCATCAATAATGCGTATGTCCCCCGATAGCCACCTGATATCTCCTGCCCATAGAAGAGACGAGTATGGGAATCACATCCTGAGGAATGGTATCCCACTCGGCCTGCAACGCAAAAGCCTACAGCTGCAATGTCTGAGGTTGTGGTTGACGTCGGCGTAGCCGTCTATCCAATGCATCCCAAAGGTGCACTATCGGGTTCAAATTGGGGGATCTGGAGGGCCAGGGGAGAACATCAACGTTGTTGTTGTGTAGACAAGCTCTCGGGATCCGTGCTGTATACGGGCGAGCGTTGTCCTGCTGGAATACATCGTTTCCGTTGACTGCAATTGGGAGGACGTGTGCTAGGAGAATTTCGTTGATGTATCACTGAGTCGTAAGATTGCCCTGGATATGGACCAATCCTGACCTACCATGGTGAGAGATACCCGCCCACATCATAACGCTACCCCCACCAAACCTGTCCACTTCCTCTACGCAGCTTCCGGCGTAACGTTCTCCTGGACGTCTGTAGAACAGTGCACCTGGTGAAACCTTGATTTCGTTGCTGAACGAGTCATGTCTCCATCTCACTTGAGGCCATACCCTGTGTTGATGACACCAATGCAGTCGTTGTTGACGATGTTGTCGATTCAATATGACGCGTCGAACAGGACGTCTTGCTCGTAGACCTGCTGCTCTTTAACGGTTTTGTACGGTCTGGTCGGGGATTCTGCACAGTCCCTGTATTTGGGGTGCGGTTGAAATTGAAAACCCAAGCTTCAGCTGATCGGGATTCCCCTGTCTGCAAGCGGCAAATGACGTTGTTTCTTTGTACTTCTGTTAATCTTGATACGTTGCTGAACTGTCACTGTACGAGTATGATAGACACACTGGGTGCGCTTTTTCCGAATCATACGTGTTTCCCGACTAATGGTTAGCATGTCCATGTTGTGATGATTTTGAAAAGGGACATTGGTCACAGACACTATAACACATTAAACCTCTTCATTTTGCACCTCTTGGTCCGCTAATACTTTTATGGCGGACGATGTGAACATTTTTTTGTGAAATTGATCGTGTGAACTTTTGCCGGAACTACTTTCCGGGGTTTCCCCGAATTCTCGATTGGTGTTTATGATCAACTCGTTTTTCTATTTTCTTTTTAATCCCTGCATTTATCAGCAATATAATTAATTTAGTATTTTTGCCTGGTCTTGTAACATTTCATTTGACTTATAAATAAATAATGCTTTGGTTCGGGTGTTTGATGTCGTCTAGCTGCTACATGAAACTAACTGGGTTGTCCTTACGGTGATTTGGACACGGAATCTTTCAATACTAATAACGTAAGTAAAGAAAACTAATTCTGTAAAATTACTGAGGGAAACGAAATTGATTTATTGAGCGAAATTGACTTTGATGCCTTGTTTGCACGAATCAAAACAATGTAGTACCCTGCTCAGATGTGGCCGCTGACACAGAGCAAACGCGACTGCTCCTGATCAATCCCAAACGTAAACCCGATTCACTATGTCATCGGGAAAAAATCTAAGATTTTGAGAAACCATAAAACATAAACATAATTTGTTTTAAAAAACATAAAACTTGCCTGTTCTACCGATTGGTCATCGGAGAAGAGAAAATCTACAAGTTTCAGAGCACTCGGTTCAATCCCCACCAGTCCATTCCGCATCGTCCGAATTGCTTTGCGATTATCCAAACACAAGTAACACATTCATAAATCGGTGATATTCCCAATTTGCTAGTGCCATGAGAGGGTTCACGCGTCGGGGTGTTTTCAATGACTGCGCCATAAACATCATTTTCAACAGCAGTAAGTATAAATTTCATCCACATGCTCCCGTTCGACACAAAATGCACCTCTTTACAAACTTATGGACGTCATATATAAATCTGCGCTTGAAGGTTGACCACGCCTCGGTGCATCGAGGTCATGTTTATATTTTTGTTCACCTTCCTGTAACCTATTTTTAACATTTGATTTATCCCAAGTATTGTTTGTAAATTTGTTCAGAGAATGAAATTATGCTGACGTATTTCTAGATTATGTTGTATATATTCAAAGAACTATCTTTCTGAGTATGAGTGGGGAAACGTATGTGACCGAGAGCCGACAAATACCGACAAAATAAAATTGTTGCTATGTTCTTCGGCGAAACCAGAGGAATTCAAATTTAAGCAAACATTGTTACGATATTATTCGGCGAGACCAGTAAACTACAAAGTATGAAATTATAAGCATTGAACGTCAGTTTGGATGCAAGCTCGGAGGTTCACACAGTTTAACCAGCGCTTTTAAATCATTCACACTTCAATGAACCCATCCAAACTGACATTTAATTCTTAATTAAACATAAAACTGATGGTATACAAGAACTGGGACAAAGATCTGTTTGGAATCCCCAAAGAGTACATTTAAGTATGTTGAAACCGACTACCATTGTTTATGTCTAGCTATTGCCCACCGTCTGTATCGTCTTCCATACTTTCTGTTCAATTCTTCCAATGACCATGTACTTATGTAAACACAGTATGTACACATGGTGAGGGAAACAAGCGTTGTAAATGTCAAATACAGCTTACAGTACAAGGATGTTCTCGTTTCAAACAATAATTTCTCAATTAAATATTTATGTATTATCTGTTAAGATATGTTCTGATAGACAAATATGAAAATGAATAAGTTTTTACCTCCACTGCCATGCTGGTACGTCCGTGCGTTGTCTTTCAGTGGTCGCAAAGAATTAAACTAAGGGCAGAATATGTTAGGAATATTTTAAGGGCCCTTAACACCTATTATATGCCCAGGCATTTGGATGGGGGTACCCAGAACTGGTTGGCAAGTGATCTGTAACGTAGAATACCACCTGTACCATATGACACCAAACCCCCAATTTCAAAAGACGTCGGGCTGGATGTCATGCTCTAAGTCCTCGGCAATGTTAAGAAATTGGTCATGGGTGAATGAAAAAAATTCGCATATATAATACGTATCACCAATGTCATCACAGGACAGTTCAAATAGCTTGCGGTGAACAACCTCCCAAATTAGTGTGAGCAAACAAACCGTCCTGAAAGAACTTAAAAATCATGGGAGCTGTACATAATCCAAGGTATATCATTATGTGACCCGAAAATGATTTAATTATATATATTTAGTTAATTGTCACTGAAAACAAATCGCAAAATGATAATTAATTTTAGGCCTGATCTGCTATGATTTATATACCATGAAGGCTGTCAAGTGATCTTTTATAAGATGAGGGTTTACTCCGTTGTTCTGGAGACATCTCAATCCAAGTTAACGAATAGTATCTGTTAAGATCCCAATTTCAGGAAATCTGTATCTATGGCATTACAAGACAAGATGACACTGATCAGTTTTCGCCGCGAATAGTTTCAAGGTGTCTGATGCGGGGTAAAGCAATATTTACTCACTCACTCTGATCATTTAAAATACTTTTTGTATGCTCAAAAGCCTAATTTGAAAGATAATGACGAGTCCATGTTCATGCCGGTACTCAGTAGGTCTTCACTTAAGAAGGGTTTTCAAAATAAAACATCCAAGAACATGATGACACTTTCTTTTCCCCTTCAGTATAAATGTAGTTAATGTGGGTCAAACCCTGTTTATGTTCTCTGAACTTCAATACAGCCTTTGAGGGTGTAACGCGTGGATGATTATCAAGGACCAATGTACGTAGGTCAATATATGTGACCACGTGTTCACTTTGTGGTACAGAGATGTATAGGCCTATGTTTGATTGTATCTAGACAAAGTGTAAACAATGCGTAGATGATGTTGATATCCGTGTGGGTGACTGTATCTAGACAAAGTGTACAATATGCGTTGATGAAGTAGATATCCGTGTGGGTGACTGTATCTGTACAAAGTGTACAATATGCGTAGATGATGTAGATATCCGTGTGTGTGACTGTGTCTAGTCAACGTGTACAATATGCGTAGATGATGTAGATATCAGAGTGGGTGACTGTATCTAGACAAAGTGTAAAATATGCGTAGATGATGTACATATCCGTGTGGGTGACTGTATCTAGGCAAAGTGTACAATATGCGTAGATGATGTACATATCCGTGTTGGTGACTGTATCTAGACAAAGTGTACAATATCCGTAGATGATGTAGATATCCGTGTGGGTGACTGTGTCTAGTCAACGTGTACAATATGCGTAGATGATGTACATATCCGTGTGGGTGACTGTATCTAGACAAAGTGCACAATATGCGTAGATGATGTAGATATCCGTGTGGGTGACTGTATCTAGGCAAAGTGTACAATATGCGTAGATGATGTAGATATCAGTGTGGGTGACTGTATCTAGACAAAGTGTACAATATGCGTAGATGATGTAGATATCCGTGTGGGTGACTGTATCTAGACAAAGTGTACAATATGCGTAGATGATGTAGATATCAGTGTGGGTGACTGTATCTAGACAAAGTGTGCACAATGCGTAGATGATGTAGATATCAGTGTGGATGACTGTATCTGGACAACGAGTACAATATGCGTAGAGAATGTAGATATCAGTGTGGGTGACTGTATCTGGACAACGTGAACAATATGCGTAGATGATGTAGATATCCGTGTGGGTGACTGTATCTAGACAAAGTGTACAATATGCGTAGATGATATAGATATCCGTGTGGGTGATTGTATCTAGACAAAGTGTACAATATGCGTAGATGATGTAGATATCCGTGTGGGTGACTGTATCTAGACAAAGTGTACAATATGCGTAATTGATGTAGATATCCGTGTGGGTGACTGTATCTAGACAAAGTGTGCACAATGCGTAGATGATGTAGATATCAGTGTGGATGACTGTATCTGGACAAAGTGTACAATATGCGTAGAGAATGTAGATATCAGTGTGGGTGATTGTATCTGGACAACGTGAACAATATGCGTAGATGATGTAGATATCCGTGTGGGTTACTGTGTCTAGTCAACGTGTACAATATGCGTAGATGATGTAGATACCCGTGTGGGTGACTGTATCTAGACAAAGTGTACAATATCCGTAGATGATGTAGATATCCGTGTGGGTGACTTTATCTAGACAAAAAGTACAATATGCGTAGATGATGTAGATATCCGTGTGGGTGACTGTGTCTAGTCAACGTGTACAATATGCGTAGATGATGTAGATATCCGTGTGGGTGACTGTATCTAGACAAAGTGTACAATATGCGTAGATGATGTAGATATCCGTGTGGGTGACTGTGTATAGACAAAGTGTACAATATGCGTAGATGATGTAGATATCCGTGTGGGTGACTGTCTCTAGACAAAGTGTACAATATGCGTAGATGATGTACATATGCGTGTGGGTGACTGTGTATTGACAAAGTGTACAATATGCGTAGATGATGTACATATCCGTGTGGGTGACTGTATCTAGACAAAGTGTACAATATGCGTAGATGATGTACATATCCGTGTTGGTGACTGTATCTAGACAAAGTGTACAATATGCGTAGATGATGTAGATATCAGTGTGGGTGACTGTGTCTAGTTAACGTGTACAATATGCGTAGATGATGTAGATATCCGTGTGGGTGACTGTGTATAGACAAAGTGTACAATATGCGTTGATGAAGTAGATATCCGTGTGGGTGACTGTGTCTAGTCAACGTGTACAATATGCGTAGATGATGTAGATATCCGTGTGGGTGACTGTATCTAGACAAAGTGTACAATATGCGTAGATGATGTAGATATCCGTGTGGGTGACTGTGTCTAGTCAACGTGTACAATATGCGTAGATGATGTAGATATCCGTGTGGGTGACTGTATCTAGACAAAGTGTACAATATGCGTAGATGATGTACATATCCGTGTGGGTGACTGTGTAAAGACAAAGTGTGCAATATGCGTAGATGATGTTGATATCCGTGTGGGTGACTGTATCTAGGCAAAGTGTACAATATGCGTAGATGATGTAGATATCAGTGTGGGTGACTGTGTCTAGACAAAGTGTACAATATGCGTAGATGATGTAGATATCCGTGTGGGTGACTGTATCTAGACAAAGTGTACAATATGCGTAGATGATGTAGATATCCGTGTGGGTGACTGTATCAAGACAAAGTGTATAATATGCGTAGATGATGTAGATATCCGTGTGGGTGACTGTATCTGGACAACGTGTATCTGAAGATATATATCTATGTAACCGTGTAATTGTGCAATCAGTCAACAATATGGTGAATGGTGAACAATATGTGATTGAGTGAAAAGGGGTAGCACCCCTTGAATGTTAGTAAGTGTGAGAACACATAATGTCATTTAGGAAGTGGTCAGATGTAACAAATGGTATAGTTGGGATAACATTTTCGTTGTAAAGTACAGATTCTCGTACTTGGTTTGGTTGAGTGCCGTCCGGGATTCGAACCAACACTGTGAGAGTGAGGCACCTAATCCCCAAAACACAAAGTCCTCGATCTAACCAACTCAGTCATCGACGCTTCCACAAAATGGTACGAGAATCTTTATTTTCCTGAGAAAATGTTGTTCCAAATATAACATTTGTTATAAGCGTAAGATGGTGTATTTACGTGTCACGCATTACAAAGGCTATGGTTATTTGAAACAATGCTTTTGTGCAAAACATGACAAATGACATGCTGAGAGCTTGATTTGTTTAGTGAGAACACAATCCTTTCATGATATGTAATGCTAGAAAAATAGGGTTCTCGGGTGTCCTCAGGTGTTCTCGGGTGTTTACCTGAGGAGTTTCGGAGATGGCCGATGGCAAATACTGACTGTCCCTCGCATCACTTGTGTCCATTTGGATTATTCCTACATACTACTGTATGAGCGTTTCCACTTTATAATACAAGTAAAGGCTGGTGTCATTGTACGATAGACAAGCCTCCAGGTAGCAGTGCCGAACTGCAGAAAATCACCAAATTGCATGCAGTGCGGAACTGTAGACACTGTGGCTTATTCCTTCTGTTTGTTTGTTTGTTGTTTAACGCCGCACTTAATGACGGCGGTCTGTAAGTGATAGAGTCTGGACCAGACAATCCAGTGATTGACATCATGAGCATCGATACACGCAATTGGGATACGATGACATGCATCAACCAAATCAACGAACCTGACCACCCGATCCCGTTAGTTGCAAACAAACAGCAAAATGTTACCATGGTAACATGCATATTTCGCTGTACCCACACTCATATATATATATATATATATATATATATATTCAAAAAATTTAAAGCGCTCTATTCTATTTTCCTTTCGGGTCATGGTACAAGCTAGGGCAATAACTGGTCTGATGCCATGTGAAGCATCGGAATTTAGTCAGAGATGTCAAATATTTATTCGTTCTGCCATATATGTATCCCTGAAACAATGTTGAAATTAATCAGTGTCGTGCGACCGCAAATTGTATTGGTAATCTTCATTTTGTTAACTACACGAACAGTTATCCACAGCTGAGATGTGAATGTTTACCATCGGTTCTGACGCGTAACACACGTGCAACAAACCCTACGATCCGGCGACTCTAAATCCCTGCAAAATGTGCAAATATTATGACCAATAAGGTAACTAGAAATATACATGGTTAATGTAGGAAAGTCCCACAAAGCTGTTGGTTGGCTACATACGTTAAGGCTAGGAGCAGATTGACGCCAGAAACATATTAAGCAACGATCGCGACCGGCTCGGCTTGATCACGAGACAACCCTTTGCCCCAGGCAAATGTCTGAAGGAGAACTGGACGTTGTCACCACTGACATTGATAAATCAGCAGGTTTGAGTCCAATGAGGGTGACCACGCGTCTTGTGCTGTTAGATCGTCATCACAGGGACATTGGGCATGT